AGGCCCAACCGCGCGCGATCTTCGCCGGTAATCTAATCTGAGCACTTGCGGCCGACCAGACAATGCCGTCATGTCTATTGACCATCAGCTAGCTCGTTTCTTAGGATTCTCACGTATGGTACACGCTAAGCAGAAAGGAGAGCCAAAGGATGCAACCGATTGTGAGAACTTCTTGAGACACCAGACAAGCGGCTGAGATAAAACATGGCACACCTAGACACTCCGGCGTTGAAATTCAACACAATATCAAAACAATTAACCTAGTAAAACATAATACCAAGCTAAATATTATAGAATAATTCATTATTTTGTGACTATTATTATTGATAAGAAAACGACGTCTTTAGCTTGTATGTTCTATCTCAGTCGCTTGAGCGGGCGCATTGTGGTGAGTGAGTGGGATGAGCATGAATTGAGACTGCGAGGGAGTGAACTAGGGGCCCTGGAGTGTTGCGGTTGCTACCCGCCACTGGACAAGGGCTTTAAGAGAGATAAACGTGAGATTAACGCATATGCATATTTCAATAAGGCAATTCGGAGCGCTGATCATCACCAGGTGCCCTGAAACGCAAATGAGGATGGGCACAGGAAACTGGATGCAAATAACCGGCGCCCCAAGACAGCGGCCTGATGAATTGATCTCCTGCCAATTCGGAGTCTCTCTACATCTGTAACTACTCAATATCTAACATGGAAATCTGGTCGCTCAAAGCCGTCTCTCACTAGGTACTGTTGTTGACTCCACGGCAGAGGGTCAGAGCTTGCCGCTACTTTTACTTTCGGCAACGCGGGGGTCCCTGGCCATGTTTCCGGCTCCGGCCATGACATTCCAAAGCAGCCAGTGAGATGTCTCGGAATTCTGCTGCCTGGACGAAGCCATGTCCTGCTCATCACGCGGTACCATGTACCTGTCCCAGGAGGTCTCCAATGGGTCATTGAGCCAACCACATGGCGGCCTCCCGGTCTGTCTGCTTTTGGGTACATAGCCCACATGCGATGGAGGGACTCACGTGCATGAATGCCGTGACTAGGTACTGCATAGGAAGCGATCAGCTTGGTTGTGCTGAATGCCCGAACTTGGAGGCCGCTTGGACCCAATGGCTCTCCGCCCGATGCTATTGCCGCCCAAAGCGTATGTAGAGGTAGAACTTTTGAATAAGACAGTCAGAAAGGCCCTCCGGACGTGATGTCAGCATCACGTAGTAGACCAGCGTACGGTAAAACGTGGAATTGGAGCCTCACCTGCTATACAACGGTTAGCGGTTCAATGGCATGAGGCCTGTAAACTGGGGATATAGAGTGCGGGGAATGGAATGAGGGTAGTAGCTATGGGAATGTAACAGTGAATTCTGGTTTTTGATTTTCGTCGGCTCTCGTGGTAAATCCAATGAGTGGCGTGTATGTAGACGCCCGTCAAGGACACCCTCCTCATATGTCTCACATCTCAGTGGCGGAGACGCAAACAGGGTGTGCCCGTATACAATTGGAAAGGGCATTCTCTCGGTCTCTTTTAGCTAAGCCGCTGGTGGCGCTACAATGGCTCAAGATACTGGGATTGATGACATGGATGTCCTCCGTCAAAGGTAGACGGAGTAGCGGAGGCGAACAACCTCATTGGTAGCTGCGTTCGTGAAATGACCGGATCCTTGCGCGTGTCAGGAACTTGAGCCAAGAATTGGCCCTCTTGGCATCACTCTCGTCTTTCCCACACTCCCAGGCTGAGCTAAACCGGCCCCGGCCATGGGGAAGAGACTGTGGGGTGGCCTGGGCGACATGGAGGCCCAGAACAACCTCGTCTGTGGGAAAGCAGCGATCAGTTCCTGGGGATGCTCATCCTCCGGATTTGCTCAAATAGCCATCCTTCCTCCCACTCTGGATTGAAGTGTTGTCCTCCTCATCTCCTCTTACCTCTTCATCACCTGAAGTGCCTGGCCTTGCAACTCGAAGGAGCTTGTGAGACCGACAAAGGAATTGGTATAAGAGAGCTCACTTATTACTTTGACCCCTTACATAGACCCATTGACTTGAGCCAACCTGCCCAAGATGAGTAGCATGTAAGTCACGGCCCGACACACAGGCAAGGAAAACATGTCTGACCTGAAACCATTAGTGAGGGCGACTCAAAGGGCCATTCGGGCACGCATCTGGAGAAGCATGTCACGGCCGAAGACCAGGCCGACCTGAGTGAAAACCTCGAGGCCAAGATCCGCAACCCCCTCGCGGGAATCCCCCACGACCAGCTCATGCGCGATGTCGAGGCCTTCGCCGAGTACCGAGGCCTCACTGACCACATCCTCGTTCTGAAGAAGGGTGCTCTCGTCGCCCAGAACCCTGCTGGGGCTGCCGAGATTGACGGCGAGTTCAAGCTTGAGCCAGCTGAGCTCGAGGTCCTTGAGCAGGAGGTCACTCACAAGTGGCGCATGCCCGCCCGCCTGTTCCTCACCATCGCTACCTGCTCAATCGGGGCTGCTGTCCAGGGTTGGGATCAGACTGGTTCCAATGGTGCTAACATCTTCTTCCCCGACTACTACGGTATTGGCGATGACTCTGTCCGCTCTCGTATCCTCGTTGGTATTGTAAATGCCGGTCCTTATATCGGTTCTGCGTAAGTTGGCCATCTCATTACACAACCTGTCTATGATTCAAATCTTTAATTCTAACATTTATCGCGCCAGTTTCATTGGTTGCTGGCTGTCTGATCCTATCAACAATATCTTCGGTCGTCGTGGTGTCATCTTCTTCTCTGCTCACTTCTGCATCTGGCCCGTCATTGGTTCTGCTTTCTGCGAGACATGGGGACAACAGCTTGCCTGCCGTCTACTGATGGGTATTGGAATGGGTGTTAAAGCCTCTACTGTGCCCATCTACGCCGCCGAGAACTCTCCTGCTTCGATTCGTGGCGCTTTGGTCATGTCGTGGCGTAAGTGAACACTCGCTAATTCTGCATCGAAATGTCGCGATAAATAAACTAACAAAAGCCTACAGAGATGTGGACCGCCTTTGGCATCATGCTTGGTATTTGAGCCTCTTTCTTCCCGCGTTGTTCTGTTGCTGATCGTGATGTTTCACAGGAACCGCCTTCAACTTGGCCATATTCTACGTTCCAAACCAGTGGCGGTACATGCTGGGCGCTGTAAGCATATTATATCACTCAAATTAGTACAGGAGCTAATTGAATGTCTAGCCATTCCTTCCCGCAGTTCCTCTTCTCGTCCTCATCTACTTCTGCCCTGAATCCCCTCGTTGGTACATGAAAAAGGGACGCTACCAAGATGCTTGGAAATCCATGAACAAGCTTCGATTCAACGAGATCCAGGTCGCTCGCGACATTTACTACATCAGCGCTCAGCTCGAGATTGAGAACAACATCGTTGGGGAGACCAACTATGCCAAGCGCTTCGGCCAGCTGCTCACCATCCCCCGTGTCCGCCGCGCCACCCTCGCCGCCTTCACCGTCATGCTTGCCCAGCAGATGTGCGGAATCAACATCATCGCCTTCTATTCCACGACCATCTTCCGCGAGTCCGGCATGTCCGCCTTCATCGCCACCGTTGGGTCCTTCGGTTTCGGCATGGTCAACTGGCTCTTCTGTTTCCCAGCCTTCTGGACCATTGACACCTTTGGCCGCCGAAGTCTCCTTCTCTTCACATTCCCTCAGATGTTCTGGACACTGCTTGCTGCCGGTCTCTGCACTCTGATCCCCAATACAGAGGCCAACAAGGACATGAGAATCGGCCTCATCTGCCTGTTCGTGTACCTCTTCGGCGCCTTCTACTCCCCCGGCGAAGGTCCAGTTCCCTTCACATACTCCGCTGAGGTTTTCCCTCTATCTCACCGCGAGGTCGGCATGTCTTTTGCCGTCGCTACCTGTCTTTTCTGGGCCGCAGTTTTGTCGATTACTTTCCCCTTCCTCCTCGACCGTGCCCACGCCGTAGGTGCTTTCGGCATGTATGCTGTAAGTTGACGACACAACCCCCAGAGACAATATCGGAACTAACAGACATTTAGGGATTGAATTTGGTCGCACTCGTCATGATCTTCTTCTGGGTTCCCGAGACGATGCAGCGCACGCTCGAGGAACTCGACTGGGTCTTCGCTGTTCCTGTTGGGACGTTCGCCCGCTACCAGGCCTTCACAGCCTTCCCATTCTGGTTCAAGCGCTGGGTCCTCCTCGGTCGCATCTGGGACAAGGATGCCGTCTGCCCTCCTCTGTACCAGTTCGAGACCGCTGCTGCAAGTGCTGCGAAGACAGCCAGCCATGCCGAGCAGGGTCGCAAGGTTTGAGAGATGAATGTCTTTACCATATAGCAAGCATGTTCTCCCATAACTTACAGCTGGGATAGTTGTCTTCTAGAGCCAGAATTTCGGGCATTTGCGTTATGGGTGGTTGATATGAATTCCTGAAGAGTGTGTTTTGGGTGTCGTGGTGTCGGTGTCCACGTACACCGGGGGGATGATGAATATAAGATACCCGAGAATATATCACCAACTTAATAAATATGAATTTAAGAAACAAATAGCGCTTCGTGTGATTCAGGTATGATTAGCGACTGATTGGTTTGTCTTCGGAATATGTGATTATCTAGTAGTGATCAATGAGGGTTGATGTACAACACCCACCCTCCAATGACAAGAAGAACAACGAACGTCTGAGCGAGAACAAAGCTGACAAAATGCTACCCGCTCCAGTCTCAGTATATAAATGAACAATGAAGAGAAATGTGTTAATTTAATTATTTCGTTACGGAAAGGGGCTAGACAGCAGACAGCCCGAGCACGCAGGTAAGGTCAACTTGATCCCACTCGAAGTTTCAAGGGACCAGAATCAATGAAACCCAGGAGCAGATATCGCGCGCTCCTTCAGCGCATCTACACTTCATGTTTTTACGCAATAAACCACCAAAATTCTTTTGTTTCCTCCACCATAGAAGCCAGAATACACCAGGCCGACGCATTTTCAGGACCCTTCTGCCTAAGGGTTTCAGATTGCAATGCAATCTTCAAGCTTGGAGAAATTTCTCCTCGGTTAGGATCTGCTGTAGTGAAATAGGCCGAAGTATCGGGCAGACGTGCTTTAGGACATTGATCGCATCGCCATGAGAATCAACGAGACCAACATCCAGCAGTTCCTTGACAATATCACACCTTCCCACGCAGTGAGTCGGTCCGATATTTTCAAAGGCCTGGATTACAGACCTCGATATGTCAAGCTCCCATGTAGCTCTCCATGTGAGAGTAGCACGCGTGGGTTGATATCTCAAGAGAGCCGCTACACCCTTTTCTCCGTTCCAGATCTCCAAGGTCTCGAGTTTCGGCATCCCTGAAACTGCAGTTGCCACTTTTTGAAGAAGCGCGTTGATCGTCTTTTTGTTTGTATTAGGCCTCAGCAACTGAGAGGTAAGCGCAATCGACCTCAGATTAGGCCACGAGACGGAAGACTTGCAGGTATCAAAAAAGAAACTAGCATCTACCAAATACGATGCCGACAGACATTCGAGGTTGAGACTGGCCTTGGCTATCGTCTGGCTAAGACCGAGACTTGGGGCTCGAACAAACGGGAAATCACCCAGCACAGCTAAATGGTGCTGATTGAAATTCTCAAACAGCACCAAGTTCTTCAAAGTGGATGGAAGGGAGTGCACAAGATAATTGTAGCCTGAAACATCGGGAATAAGTTAGTTCATGTCCGTAGCAAAATCCAAGAGTAATTCGACATACAACCGTCCTGTTCTCCCTCCCACCATGCTCTCCACGGTTCATAATGAATCTCCTGGATCCTTGGAAGCCGTGAAAATAGCTCTGAAAGTTTCTTCGAAGGCCATCTTCGACGGGTTTGTTGACGAAGAAGCACACTAGTCACCACTGGTACGGTTGGCAGTCTCTGTCATATTAAATGCCCCGGCTCAAGCAGATTATCCGGGTCTCGCTCATTTGCTTCGCCAACGCTGCTCCAATCTCTCATCCTCAAACCCCCCCTAGTGGTCAATTCCCAGATTTTCTTTTTTGCTAGGCGCCCGTAACCTGGAATCCTACTCATGAGGTCGCAAAAGTGTGGCAATAGGCCCTCATCTGTGACACGCCGACGCTGTATTTCTTTTCCTGCCCACTTGTCGTGGTTTATTTCGCAGACAGGGACATCAGATTCGACAGTCAGATAGTCGGTTTCATACTTCAGATCAGAGGGTGAATGTATACTAATATCGAGCGTCAGGTTTCCATGCGGATCCCAAGAACTTAGATTTTCGAAGAGCGTCCGGAATGAGGTGGCGATTAGATGATTATCGGCGTTCGTGACTTCATAGAGGACCAAGTTGTACTCCTCAAGTTCCAGGCAAAGCCACAAATATCTTACGAGATGACGATTTCGGTAAGTCATTGAATCAAAATCAGCCAGGCGTGCAGGCGTTACTTTGATTCTGGCGAAATTATGCGGCTCGATGACCGCCTGCCACTGTCGCGACACGGCAGCAGCTCCGGCGCAACTGGCATCGTCATCAAGCAGGAACCCCAGTATGTTGTACGATATTTCTGCTGGGATTCTGTACCAAGAAACGTCGGTCTCTGTTATCGAAGTCATGAGCACTGATTTGCGCTCGTATTGTTGGGTCCGAGCGACGATCGATATACTGAGATTGAAGGTTCGTGTGGCGTGGATGGGTGAAAGAACTGAGAAGAAGTTTGTTCTAGCGAGCGGTGAGAAGGTTCAAAAAACCTAAATGAAGATATGGAGGAGGGAATGTGGCATGCTTGCCAAATGTTCTCGGCTTCAGGGGATATTGTGAACCAACGCGAGTAAGTAGAACGTCTGTGCAATTGTGCTGGAGAGCGGGTGATTTGAGTATGGAGAGGCTCAGAATGAGAGAGAGAAGTGGGGGAAAAGCGAGCTTCACGCAAGAGAGCAAGTTATAAACGCATGCACATGCCTCAGGCAGAAGCAGAGACAACAATAATGCCTACCTGTGCAGGTACCAGCAGAGGTTCGCAGGAGTTCACAGGGTGTATTAGATGGCATTTCCACCAGGAAAGCCGCAGTATTTGTATGTGAGAGAGCCCCGAAAACCCATTCCCGCGGCGCCAAAACACCAGCCAGCCACACAAACCTCGACTACATCATGAGGCCAGATTGGAAGCTGAGAGACGTTCAGAGGAACTATTACGCGCGTACCAACCGATCTGATCAACATGAATAGTGGTCTATTATATGCTGTCGCCTCTTATAAGCTGTAGCTACCACGCCAACGACCATCATAGAAGTACGCATCTTTGAGATACTACCAAGGTTCAAATTAGGACCAATTTGGCCCATCTTGCTATCACGAGCCTCCATTCTGGAACCAAGTCTGCCCTAGAAAAGCTTATTTGACCTCTCCAACAATCTGTCCTCAACCTATAATCTTTGTTGTTTATGTAATATATCATTAAACTGCACATACATTGAATATATGGCTTCCGTCTCTGCCAGATCCTCCCCTTGAGTATCTGACTGTGCCTCGGCGGCTTTCTTACAAGCGTCAACTTCTCTAATCACCTCCACGAGCTTTCGAAGAAGATTTCGGGTGTAACTCATTTCTTTATCGCCTTCATCGGTTTTCGATCCTGCGGCGGTATCCAACTCTTTGGTTTTTGGCTGCGCAACGGCCTGCGGGTCGAGTATTGGCGGTTCCGGTTTGATCATTTGTCCATGATTGCTTGGTTCATCGAACGTAAACGGGTTGACATCTCGCGGCTCCATGCCAATTCGCCCTTCTGGGTTCTGTGGCCCCAAATCTCGATTAGGTCCCGAGTTGAGGTTTGGTGGGAAGCTGATCGTTGATATATCCTGAGCCTCTGCTTCCATATCCGCCTGCTCAGTGTCGTGGGAAGACTGCGTGTCCCCAACCGGGTTGGATGCATTGCCACCACCAGTAAGGCCGTTGCTGTTTATTAAGATGGGATGTGCGTCTCGGGCTAGTTGCTCAGGTCCGATTTTTCGCTTCTTGGCCCGATGTCCAGCTGCCGGGCGAGATGTAGACCGTCGGGAGAGTGAATGGCGCCCACATTGCTTCGTTCTATAAGGGGATCGCGCTATCTGTTGCTGCATATGTCTTGCAACTCTTTGATTTCTCGGTTGTTGTTGTAGTTGTTGTAGGGCAAGTATACCTTCTTTGTCTGGTGAGGATAGACTTTTTGTGGCGAAGGAGATTCGACTTTGTTGGTCTACCGCCTGCGCCGCTGTAGCACCTGTTCCAGCAAGAAACTGGACAACAGAGGCCGCAGATGATGGTCCTGAAATTGGTGGTTGGGGCGTAGCAGATGCATTATCGATCTTAGATGAAGTTACGGTATCTGGGGCTGACACTGAATGTCTATTCGAAGCCGACTTGGACGAAGCAGGGGCGATGCTGTCTGGCGTATCCTCTTCGTCAGGTATGACTATGACATTTGAGGCATTGGGCACCTGATGAGTTTGAGCTACCGAGAGTGCTGATTTATTCATGTTATCACGCCCAGCTGTTGTATTTGAATCATCCAGTAAAGGCGCCTCGGACTCCAGAGGGTCACAAGAAGATGATTGATGCAGTTGAGGTTCAGGTGAAGGCGGTTGACACGTCGGGTGGACAACTAAACGTGATTCCGGGATATTTCGAGTGAATTTATCAGCAGATGCAACCTTTGATGCGATTATATCTCGGTCAGGTTCATTGTGAACACCAGCTGAGATGATTCCCCCTCTTCTCGCCGCCGCGTGGACAACTCGTGCCTTGGGATCAGACAGCTGATCCAGATGGCTACCCACCTCTTCGCAAAATTTCTCTCTTTCGCCGCCTTGATTCAACAATATCTTCACCTTGTGCTTTATGGAAATGAAATCTTTTTTGTATAGCTCGTCTGCCGGTTCATCTGGCCAGTGTGTCTCGTTCGGCTCACGAAGCAAGCTGTGAATTTATTGAGTAAGTTCAGGAACGAGACTTCCTCCAGCTAATGATTGCCGAACTTGCTCTGCAACTCTGCCCAAGGCAAGGGATTGGTCTGGTATTCGGGGTTAGATAGTCTGCCGAACTTGGGAAGCAAATCATCCATACCTTTGGTGAGTCGCTTGGTTAGAAAGGACATCTTTTCCTTCTGTGAGATATCCGAGATTATCTAGTAAAAGTCAGGTAGATGCATTCCTTTGTTGAGGTGTGAGAGGTGTCAGAGGTGGCTCAGGTGCCTCTGACACCTACGCCTCAGTTCAAAGTGATTTCCAAGTTCTCATCATGTGCTCTGTTTTCTGTCACCTACTCCCATCCTCCACCGCCCGCTTTCTTCTATCACTCTCTATCGATACTCTCCCCCTCTCTCGTGTTCCCATGGCCCAATCATTCATCTTCTCCAATCGAAGCCCAATCAAAACACTAAGAGAATAGTTGCGCGCGCGAAGGAACCGGCCGCAGTGTGAAATCTCATGCTAAGTTGAGCTACTCCACGGATTTCTTCCCGATTTCGCAATGGAACGACAGATATTGCCCGTTGACAAGGCGATCAATACCGATCTCTATGTATACGACACAGGAAAACCGAATCGGCGGGAGAAACGGGTCATTCGGGTACGACGCGACAGTAACATCGATGTTCAAAAATGGGAAGGCTCTTATGATTCATCGGAGGAGGAATACTATGATAATTCCAGGGCTGGCCAATCCTTCGGTACGCGCGAAACAGAGGTATACGGCGTCCCCATGGACCACCTCGTTGTCATCGTTGGCGAACTTCTGCCGTTCAGGGTTAAATTGTATAACAGTGCGCAGGCAGAGTTTCCCAGGCATTTGCCCCAAGCTATCAAGAATGCCATACCGGCCAAAGACCCCCGCAGAATACGCATCGTGGTCTGTTTACTAAAAGACCCTCTAGGACGTTCATATGTTCTTGCAGACAAGAAAGACGGATTATGCTCCCTCCGTTCTCTTCCATGCGGGTATGACAGGGAAACATTCTACTATCGAGAATGGGCCAAGATCGATTCGGATACTCCCACCTTCGCAAAAGGGCGAAAACCAGCCTGGAAGAACGAGGTCAATGAGTTTTGTTTGACATATGTTCGAGAAAACAGCGCTGATATCCCAGCTGACTTCCACTATTCAACCACAGGGGGCCAGTTCACTCAGAAACAAAACCGCTTTGAATGTGTGGTTTCAAATCTAAAGAAATCACTGGCTTGCTACAAGCACTCGGAAAATCCAGAATATCTTAATCATATGATATTGCAGCTTGACCAAGCACTGGGCTGTCCGCCGGGTAACGATTCCCAGAATCATGACATGAAGCTCATCGTCAACCTGATCTCTGCTGATGAAACGCTCAGTTATGAAGAGGCTAATGAGGCAGCCGCCGCTTACAAGGTACGTTGGCCTATCCAAGTTCCAACGACATTCAGGAATAATTCTAATAGTGGTCACAGAATATCTGGTCTGCTGCTACTCCTCATGATCTTCCACAAGCCGTCACTGGTGCTGCGCTATTTCAGCTGGGCACCGGACTTCGTACCAAAGTTCTCGGAGAGTATCCTTCTCTACAAGAAAATAGATATCAACAGTTCATATCTACATTCTGCACTCTATATGAGAAGTTTCAGGATAATTCCTGCCCATACTCAGAATCTCAACGAGATATCGACATTATCATTGCTTACCGATCAGCTCGGAGATCAGCTGTCAGTGATATCGATCTTCTAATGGTTCCAGTCAAGACAGGATCCCCAGAAGCGGTAGTGCTCGTAGAAATACAGCAGCATATTAAGGAGCTCCGGTGCTTCATTAAGCTCATGTCCGAGAGAATCGAATGCATTTCAACTGCGTATCCGAGTCGACCAACCATCCCCTCTGAATATGGGCTACCGGAACACATCCGACATTTGATGAACGCGATCGACGTCAATGAGGCTTCGGAGCACGTATCACATATTATACATTATTTCACGATGCAAGAAAAAGCCAGTCTTTCAAGCCTCATAGACATGATTGCTGAGGTAGAGGCCAACTCGATTGAGCGGATGCAAACTTTTGCCCATGATTTCCAGGCCAAAGTCTCACCCGCTGAAGATGGGGATGACAATTGATCCTGAGGATGAAAAGGATGGATAAACTTCCTAGTTTGCGGAGAATGAGGAGATGTCGGGTATGTGAGCAGGGGGTTGTTTGACCGGTATTGTTTTTCATTCATTTGTCAATCCAGTGAAGAAAATACAATGAAGATAATCGGATTATCAAAGTGAGAGATAAAGTATATTGGAAGCCATACTTTGTAAGGGCTCGATAATCCGACAGGACTTTGAAGATTGCTTGCTTATAATCGAGAAGGAGATTGACTCGAAAGAAAATTCGCTACTCGTTTCATTAATATTGCTCCCATCATTTCTGGCTACAGGACCCTCCAGTGATACCCAAGACATGTGCATTAATTCCGTTACCAGAGCTCATCCACGTCAACGGGCGAGGGAAACTCGCGCGCATCTTGATCCAGCCTACCCAGTCTTTAGGATGAGCTATCCCCAAACGCGTCCAGTGTTCCGTCTATCACTCCTCTATTAGGACAAGTTTGAAATAAAGACTAGAATAATACTAGCTGTAAACCTAAGGGCGGGTAAGGTAGGTAGGTAGGCTCGAGACCTAGTAATTTGTTCACTGGAAACAGTGCCCTCTCGAACGCGAGCTATTATGTGATTGACATCATCTGCGTAGCGGTGATTCTGGTGCAAATCTATTTCATGGGATTCCTTCCTTTTCAATTCAGGAAGCAAACTCGAAAGGAATTTGCTAATACTCTTCAGAATTTCTGAGTTCTCTTTCTGCCTTTGACCCTCTGTTTCTGTTTTTTCTTCTTCCTTCCTGCACATCAACGTCGTATCAAGGTCCTAAGTTTCGCAAACCAAACCTCATCAGTGTAGATCCAACCTGTCCAAAAAGGACCGGCCTTCCACAATCCGTTTGGCCCTGGCTAGGTTCTTTGGGACCTCAGCTTTTGCTAGACTATTAGAGCCGATGCAAGCATCTCAAAAAGCTTCTTCTGATCCCTATTTACACCTTTGATCGAATTCCCGTAAGAGCCAAGAACAAGCTTCATATGCTCTTCACCGAGAAATGGACCGCCACCGGGGAGAAGTCCCATCTGCCTCGGGAAATCAAGCCATCTGCCGCGCTTAGGATTAGCTGTGAACAAAAGCGCGTGATGGTAACGTAATTGCTGGATGGCTTGATATAAATCCGAGTTGGTATTTGCGATACGATGGCTGTCGTCCAGTATGAGGACTGCAATATTCTCGTCCAGTTGCCCGGGATCATACAGGCGTGAATGAAGTGGCATATAAACTCGAAGGTGATTGTGCGGAAGGACTTCAGCCGGTATCTCTTTTCCACTCGCGACCATGGCTCGATCTGCTGCCTGGCGATGAAGATAGGGTAAACAGTCTGTGTATTGCTTCGTCACAAAATCGGCAGTGCAGATGACGATGTCGTACTCAAGTAGTTCAGTGACTGGGTACTCAGCATGTCGCAGGATTAAATATTTGCACGTCTTCACATAAGTGTCAGCTCCTATTTGATGCAAAAGGTTCATTTCTACGATATTGAAGGCATACCGGTGTAGATTCTCTCTTGATCTCGGCCACCCATTTCGTCAGTGAGACTTGGGCGCATACAATAAGGATGAACCCGCATCTCGGGCGCATCTGACTCTGTAGCTCGAGTGCAGTCAAAATTGCCGTAAACGACTTGTTGTGTCCCGAGGTGTCACGAAGGAAGCCACCTCTGAAAGGAGACCGGGCCATCCTCAAAGCCTTAGTCACATCAATAGGCCAGAGGCTTTTTGGTGTCATCTGCAATCCATCTGGCTTAGCAGGCGCTGCTTTATCTCGCTGATGAAGGTCACGGTTAGCAGTGCGTAGGTAAGGTCAAGAGGCAGACAAGCGGTGGGAAGTGTACCAAGAGTGCAATAAATTCTACACTTTTCACATATTCAGAAAAGTCCATCATCTCCTCACCAACCCGTATCTGCTTTGCAAATGTGAGAGGGAAATCAAAAGAAGATAGAGGGGCAGGTATTGGATAATCGGTGGGTGAAAGATGGAGAGCGTGGGTGAGATCTTCTCTGTCGGCCGCACAACGCGCAAACTCTACCTTCTCTTCAAGGGTTAAACTTTTGTTTCGAGGTTGAACAGCTAAACCCGAGAATAAGTAGTCATTTGCTAGGTCTTGGTTAAAGTTGAACCCTCTCGATGCTCTCGAAATCCTGTTGAACTGTCGCGCTTTCCGTCTCAGAGCTTCGTCTCCCGCAGCTCGAGATTCTAAGATGCACGTGGGTTGAACCATGCCTAAATTATTTGTCGGTAAATTATGGCGGGCAGACAGAAGATTCAGAGGAAGATTTTAATGCGTGAGTGCTCCGCGTAAGTAATGGGATCTTCTGGGAGGTGCGTCGCTCTTCTTCCTTATTTCCTGTTGGGGGCTTTGCTTGGTAGATAAATCGAAGCTACTGCCAGGACCGGCAGTAGTTTGGGGTTTCAAAGTTCTAATATCTGAAGGCGGTGAGGCTGAAATTCTATGGCAATTGGCACAAGACAGAAGCTTCTACGCGTTGGCGACTAATCAATGACTGAACACTTCCCTGCTCTCAGGACGACACCAGAAACAACTCAATAACCCATCTGCCTTAAATCCCTATCAATTCGAACTTGGAAGCCCCGAGCTACGTCTTTAACATTTCTGGCGATTTTCTTCTAGTAGCCCAAGTAACCTACGGCATCACTTTTGGCATCTGCCCCACCAGAATCCTCCTCAGTCCACCACGTTTTGTCAAGAGGATACGATATTAGTCTCTTGTTCATTTCTCCGAATACTGTGCGCCCTCCATGCCTTCATACAACTACAGCTGGCTCAAATATACTGGGTTTGATACAATCCATGGCTTAGTCCTGGAGGCCTCTCGTGTTGACCGAGTGCTCAACAATGCCCGCCTTGCCAGGGCAAGAGATGGACATGAGAGGAGGCTTAGGAGGATTCGAAAGGCTCTGGGTTTGGTATTCTCATTTTCCCATCAGCTTGAGTGCGATCATCTTGCTAACAACCAGCCTTTTAGAGGCAACGGGGAGGAGACGATCCCAACCCTGCTGAGTCCTGCAATGACGACGGCAATCAGCAATCCAACCAAGATACTTCTGAAGAAATAGAGGAAGGAGAGGAATAAGCGTATAATGGGTTATTATGTTTAATCCATAGGGAGATTTCAGATGACGATCTCCCGGATGCCGATTTTCAATATGACACAGAACCTGAGAGCGAGGCTCAGACTCCTTGGCTTCCGAAGACACGCTCACAGATCGAGATGATATAGGCAGCTTAGTTATACATGATTACGAGGATAAGGGGACAACTAGGTGAAATTGAATTTGAGAGACTCAGAATGCCATACTGCTGATTGTCGAGTCTGCGAGCGGTATTATTAGATTATTAAGGGTCAATAATAAATACACAAGGGACAATACACTAAGTATTATTAATTTACAACTTTTAATACTACCTTTTTAGTTTGATTAGTATAGAAAGTGTTCTGCTCGTGACCATCCTTCAAAGTAGTGTCTCATTTCTTCTGTCGCCCACTTGGGGGACTGATGGCGATGAGGCGTGTGAGGGGAGGAGAGCGGGAAGTTGATCATAAACAAATAAAGGAAATCCGTCTAGGTTTTGGACTTCTCCTCAGGGATCACGGCGATCATCGCACAGTCTGCTTAGTCTCCACGGCCATGACCACGCATGCGGGAAATACCACGGTCGCTCTCAGTTTTCCCGCGACTACTGATGCAAGATATCTAGAATTATGGCCACCTCTTTGTGAAATTGCTTCGGGTGACTGTTCTGGTTCACCCCCTTGGCCCTCAAAACGATAAAGGTTCTTTTGTATTGTTCTTCGAGTGTCGGTTCTTCGTCATTGGACACATCTGGGACGCGAACTAAGCCATTGAGCATTCGATTTCAATCATCAACCGTGTCACTATTTACGGCGGCAGGGTCAGTGCCGAGCGAGGTTTCAATCTCCTTGGCGAGTCTTTCGGGCCCGTCCATTTGAAGTTTATTTCGATACAGTTACTATTACCCACGAGGGACCAGATTGGATTTAGTGCCAATTCTTTTTAAATTCCGTTGTGTTGACTCACCAATCCGTTGTGTTGACTCACCAATTCTTTTCTTGGGAATAGACGCCAGAGAGGTAGGTGCAGTGTGTCAGGATCCAGCAGACTCAACAGAGGCCAAGGACGCAGTCAAGGTATATCAGGTAAGCCAACACTTGAACGATAAAATAGATGACGTGATATTAATGACCGAGGTAGGGACTCTGGCCCATCATGGATGGCCTACTAAATGCTGTCATGGAGCCGCTGCTTCATCTGGGCCGTGGAGTTCGGTCAGGAATCCTGTCTAAACTTCCAATCCTCTCGGAGGACAAATACCAGCAATTCATACACGCCTTCTGTGGCATTCTCCAAGAATTTCTTGATAGTTCATGCGCTCAGACTGAACGAGACAATGCCATTCGTGGGGCTTACCTGAGTGCTCGCAGACCAGCATTTGGTGATATTGACTTTGCCACTGTCCCTAAATCAACAAAGAGAGACACTACAGACGAAGTGTTGATGGTCGAGATGCAGGAAAATATCAACCTGCTTCAATCGCTCATCGATGCTGTCTCGCGTCGAGCCGACTCCCTTGCGGCTACTTACAGCAGCAAGCCGCTGAAAGCATTTGATCATGAGACAGGAGCACCTTTCCGCATTTTGGCCAATACATGTTCAGCCGACGTCGCGCGAGAGGCTGTTTCGCAGATTGCGCCCATGTTGTCGATGGAGTCAAAGGCGACTCTGTCGGACCTCGAGGATCTGCTGATCGACGCTCAAGATTACTCGATTATGCGGATGAAGAAGCTCTGCAACACCGTGAGTGACGACAAGCTCGATGAAAATGAGATGTATGGTGATGAGGGGGACGAGGACGGGGACGATGACGAGGATGGGGAGGATGTAGAGGACTCCGGAGAGGAATCTAACGCTGAATCAAATGACAGCAAAATGGCAGAGGATCTAAGCGACGAGTAATACATCCATCATTTACTCGGGCGCACAATCAATGATGCACTGGGTTACACTGACCCCCAAATATGGCGATTCGGCCGCAAATGTAGAAGAACAAGCTTGGAAGATTAGGCTCTAGTTTACAGATATGGAGCTCTCGCAGTAATTGAAGTAGTTTATTTCTCTCAACAGCTACTGTAGGAACATCTCCTACCGGTGTGAAGCAAACTCGCACATGCCACTGCCGCTTCCTTCTGGTGACGCTGCGCTAACATGCCGTTCCAAACTCCGTACAAACACCAAGACTCGACTCGATGCCGCCCACACCATTTTTAGGCTCCAAAACATGAAATGAGGAAATCAAAATCAAGCACCAAGCTACCTTAGAGCCTCCCCCCAAACGAGGGGAAAAGAGAACACTGCTTCAACCTTCAAGGGCATGTCACAATGCCAGGTCCAACATCTCCTCCCCAATCAGTTCTTGCAGAACCAGAGGCAGACAACCGGCTTCTCACCATCACGGCCGGAGCGCGTCTTGTCCCACCCGACGTCCCTGATCGTCTTCTTCAGCATGTCCTTGTCGGCGCCGCTGAACGAGATGCCCCTGTACCACTTCCCGTTCCCGCCAGCGACGACCTCCACGCACCGGTTCTTCTTGGGCACGTCGTTGGTGCAGCCGAAGCCCTTAAGCAGCTCGCCGAGCAGCGTGTTGCACGGGATGTGCGCCGCCTTGAAGCTGACCGAGGCGTTGGCCGGCAGCTGCCAGGGGGGCGTCTCCGAGTAGAAGATGTGGCACTTGGTGGTCTCCGCGGGGAAGAAGAAGTTGTAGCCTGGCTCGCAGCCGACTCCTCCGGTCGAGTTCGTCATCTGCGCTGCCGGCATGTGCGGATCGATGTTGGGGTAGGCGTGGGGTGGCCGCCAAACACCAGCATACTGGACAGCGGGAGTGAGACTGCCCACGCCTCCGTAGGTCCAGACATTGCTAAACACCGCCTGTCCGGGGCCGGCCCCCATATGCGGAATGTACGCCTCGCCATTGACAGGTACTGGCGCACCGAAGGGGGCCAGAGGAGGTCGCTGGCCGGAGCCCATTGCGTCGCGGCCAGTCACGGGATTCCAGCCGCCAGACATGGTACCAACTGGAGCCAATAGAAAGGGAGAGTAGGCAAAAGGCCGGCTCAAAGAGACTTGAGACAATGACTATTCGGCCTGCCAGGTATGAACCCAACGACCTAAGGTGTGATCAAAAGATGCCAGCCAGTGACCAGGGGCTGGGCCGTAAGAGGTGGGATCCCAATAACCCAAACTGCCAGTCAAAGCGAGGCTTTGGGGGTTTGGAGGAAAGGCCCAGACCTGGGGTGGATGAAAGGGGACAGCTGAAGGTCCGGACTGGTTATCAATCCTTGGTGCTGAGTATCGAAATGGTTCCGCGACGGTGGCGGTCGGTGCCTCGAATTCGGACGTAGAGTCCTCTATGTAGAAGTCAGTGTTTAGGTTCATGGGCATCACACGAAGGGCAAAATACATTCCATCCTCTGGTCCTCGAGTGAAAGAACAGGGATAGAAGTACAATCTCCCAGATAAATCGGCAGACTCACCCGATGACGACTCCCACACGCTTTCTCCCTCGCTGGAGTCGTCGGACTCAAGCTGAATGTCGAGATGCGCGACAAAGAGCTCAGTACTCCAGAGGGTATTACCGTACTGGTCAAAAAAGGCACCAACTACGATCAAGGCCCAAAACGGGGGATCAGAAGAAGCCTCGAGATATTGGGTGACGACAAGTTTCGTGGCTGGATAAGGAAGAAAGTCCCCGTCAACTGCAACAATGCGGTGATCTGCTGATGGTGACCTGGATGACATGAAAGAAAACCATAAGAATAAAGGTAGAGATATAAAGACGATGGGTAGAATCTGTTGAGAGAGTGGGTTGAAAGAGTAATGTCCTATGATAGGACTCAACCCATTGTATCCCATCTTTATAGTTGAAGCGATGCCTTGATTCACTGTCAATGGGATATCGGATGACCCACGGCGTGTTGTTAGAGAGGTTCACAGCCGGGTTCAAGCTCGCGTTCATCGTTGCCACCCCTCTGGCGGTGACCAGGTAGAGTCCTGGAGGGTCTCGATAACCTCGCAAACCCGGAATCTCGACCGCCGCTTCTACCATTTCGCCATAGAAACGTGGCAATGCAGACCATGTTCGATGCACTTTGGTTACCACAAGGGCTCATTGCGATAACAGCAAACCAATCCCCGTGCTCAGACTTCAGACGACCGCCTGTGAATCACGTACGCTGAAGTCCTAGCATCGCACACGACCCGACACAGCAGGAGGCAAAATGCAGGCGTCCGTCGAGTCAGAGAGAGATTTCGGTGGGATTGTGGAAAACGAAAACCCTTGCTGTATCTCACGCCCCATGTGTCAACCACGGCCGATTTCACGTTTATTCATCATCGTCACTGTCGTCGGCGACGACCCGCACCCCGCCAGTCATCTTGACTGAGTCGATGTTTCCAGTCATAGCTACAGGCTTAGAGCTACCCACTGGGGCAGTGATGCTGGAGGCGTCCTTTCCAGATTGCTTCAGCCTCGCAACTTCGCCCACGAGACCCTTGAGGTAGACCTCGGCCTGGACAGTGGCACTGTACGCCGCCGGAGTCCAGTTCCACACGTTGCGCCGCTCAACGTCCGCGCCCGCCGCCAGCAGCGTGCGCAAGACGAGCAGGTTCCCGTTGCCGCTCGCAAGGTGCAATGCGGTGTTCCCCTCGATGTCTGCTCGATGGACGGCCTCGGCTGCGCCACCGGGCACGTATGTGAGGAGGAGCTGGAGAACGGTGTCGTGGCCGCCAGCGCTGGCCTCCATGATGGGGTCACGGCCCTTGTTATCTCTACGGAGTATGCAGGAGCTATCGTTTTCGCATATGAGGTGGACGACTTCGGTGTGGCCAGCTTTGGCGGCGAGCAAGAGGGCGCTCTGGTTGAGCTCGTTCAGCGCGGGGCAGGGTTTCTCGTGGCCGGCTTCGATCAGGACCTGGCAGACCTCGCGATAGCCCAGGGAGGCAGCGAGATGCAGGTTCGAGTTGGAGAGGCCCTCGGAGGAGGCGTCTGGGTTGTGGACGAGGTTCGGGTGGGATTTGAGCATGCGCTTGACGAGCAGGGCATCGTTGGCGTAGATGGCTCGCCGGAGCCGGGCTGGACACCAGGCAGGTCAGCAGAGGAGCAGCAGAGGTCATTCAGGTGCAGATAGCTTACAGGGCGGTTTATGTTGCATGGTGAGTGCGGTGTTCGCAAGCCTCCGATGCAGAGCGCAGGCAGGATGAAGGGACAGGCTGTCGAGAGCAGGATGGATTGTTGATCTGGGCTTACGGACGGCTTATCGCAGCTCGGCGCAGCGTAATGTAGCTCCTGTAGTGGAGACTGGCCCTGGCCTACATAGTGCCTGTGTCCAGCGGTTTAGCGGCCCAGCGCGGGGTGCCTCAGATCGGGCCCACCCGCCCCCCCAAGTTTCAACTCGGTGACGGCTCGACCTTCTCCGCAGCACCAAAACATCTCCAAGTCATGCATCAGTCGACCTACCCTGTACATTACATCTAAAAAAAGATTCGCGACGCGCGAGTTTTCGGTCATTTATTAAGCTTGATTAATTGACTATTAGGTACATAGCACACGATACAATATTACAGGCCAGCTTGAAGAATTGATCCAGCGTCCCAAAATCAGTCCAGCTCATGAGCTGCCTTCACAGCCTTGGACTTGCCAGTGTCAAGCACCACAGCGGGATCCTCCTTGCTCCCCTTGCGCGACACTTCATTACCGCGTTTGGTTTTGATAGTAGCCCTGGATGTTTGATTAGTGGTAGGTCTTGCTTACCAGATAGACGAAAACCAATGGACTCACTTTTCTTCCTTGACGTCGAGAACTTTGCCTTCGGGATGGCCTCCTCCCCACTTCCAGCTCACGGTGTCGCCTGGTTCGGGTCCATTTTTAGCTGATTTACCTGAGCCATTGGCCTTCTTCCCACCGTCGTCTTCGTCTTTCTTGCCATCATCATCTTCTTCCTCCTTCTCGCCCTCCTTGCGCTTATTAGCGCCCCGTCCGTTGGATTGTTGTTGGGCATTATCATCATCTTCAGCATCCTCAGCATCTTCGTCTTCGTCATCATCAGAGGCATCATCCTTATCCGATTTCTTGCCCTGTCCACCAGCTGCTCCTTTACGAGTCTCGCGTTTCTTTTTTGAACCCTTTTGCGCTTTGACTGGTTGCTTTCGCTTGTCGCCGGCATGCTTGTCACCCTCGACCTCCCCTGCCTCTTCGCCCTTCTCATCCTCGCCTTCATTCTTCGCCTCCTCGTCCTCGTGCTTGTCATCGTCCTCTTTCCCCTTAAGGAAGTCGTGTCCCCAATTCTTCAAGGACGCATACGATTTGGTCTTCTTCACTTCCTCGGCCGACTTTTCGTTGTTGGCCTTCTCCTCCTGTGCCAGATGTCGCTTGCTAATAAACCATGTCAACCATCAGCATCCTCGCCCAGCGAACATTTCCATGACAACGATAGCATGGCGATGAGAATGACCACGAACCAGTATGAAACGACCTTGCGCATGTGCTCAATGTGATCCTCGCTATACTTCGTAGGGTCCTTTTTGGGATTGGCCCGAAGAATCTCTACAATCTTGCGGCCACTGTCGTGGCCAATCGACTCGCCAGAGCTATCTTCCTTTGGCCAACCTGCGCTGTTTGAGTCGCCCGACTTGAGCCACTTCTCGAGCTCAGAGGCTGTCATGTTGACGAGCTCGTTGAACTCTTGGACCACCTGGCTGTTGTACTTCATGATGCGATGATGTGACACTTGGCCTTGCTTGATGCCTTTCTTGATAAGTGTTCTGATTCAATTTCCAATAATACGAGAGCTGGATTGAACGTGGTGAGATATTTAGAGAATTCAAATCAATTCTAATGTATACATAGCTTCCCTGTCATTCTTTATACTTATTGTCCATCTCGGCCGGCCGATGTGTCGTCGTCATGGTGTCTCAATGGCTTCGGATAGATCGTCGCGTCATAGAAGGCCAAGAGCTATTACCGGCAAATTAAGCTTCGGTTCCTTGCGGCTGCGGTCCCACAAGTCGATCGCGGCAGAGCTCGAGATCGATCAGCAGCGGACTTGATTGATCTTTTCTATCAATTGAGAGACTAGAAAGGGAGAATGGTGGGGGGTACCTGGTTTTAGCTCTGCATGATGTAACGCGGCGCGAAGCTGTGGAAGATCGAAGATCCTTGCACACACTGAACAGGGAACGGTGGCCCCATTGCCTAACGTTGATTGTACCAAGGCAGTGACGTGTTTGTGAGGTATATGACAATTGGAACTTTGCCTCGAGAGACTCTGCTGGAGTTGCTGAACATCCACGAGATGGAGGCTGAGGACGAGGCCCGATCGGGAGGGGTCGGGCAGACGCATTGGTCTATCTTGCGGCTACGCTACTTCCATCATCCGATTGCTCGTATTTACCCAATTCAGGTACGTGTCTCGCCTAATCTCGTTCCCTCGCTTAGCTGACTAGCTAGAGGAGCTGTGTCCGGAGCACGCTTGGAGAGAGATCCAACGTGTCAAGAAGAACGCCTGGTAAGATCCTCGTGTTCAATGCATAAACCACAACCTACCGTTATCCCTTGTTTTCCTTTTCCTTGAAGGTAAGCTACAAGAAAATTGGATCTACACCTCTTGTTTAGGTATAGATTCCATGAAATACGAGAAACTTAACGCACAGCTGTGTTAACCAATGCAAGTTTGACTTGAGCCATACAGTATCGTGAGAGGCGGCCGTCATGGTGAACCCTATCCTCAAAGGCCACATTGCCTTCCGAAGCTATATTTATACTCATTTCTTATCCAGACTCGGCATTCCATGCCCGCAGAGCAGAGGCATAGCCTGAAACCCGGTCATCATGCTCGGTCTCGTGTTGCTGCGCCTTCTACTGGCTGTATCGCTGGTGAATGTTGCCCTCGCCGTGGATCTCCCCATACTCTACCCTTTGCACAAGCTCAGTCGTCGCCCCAAGCTCGAAGAGGGTTTTATCTCCCAACGTCCCACCTGGTGGCAACACCCCGGAGACGGCGTGCTGTGGGATCATGGCGACGAGGGCCACCGCGACTTTAGACCAAAGGTCAACATCACCTGGTTGCGGGTGCCCACGAAATCAAACCGGGTCGTGGAACGGGCTTTTATCAAAGTTGTTCAAAATCACTGGAGAACCAGGTCCTACCAGGCTTATCCTTGGCCAAGCGGTTTCGTTCTCCCGTTGCTTCGCATGCGGGGCAAAGAAGCCCACGGCACCAGCAATATCCTGATCCTCCCGGACGGGCCAGGAATCGGAGGGACGAAGATGATCGAGGAACAGGGCGATGAGCTGTTCCAGTACGTTGGGGAAAAGTACAACCTGGTCGGCTTCGACGCTCGTGGCACGGGGTCATGCGACCCGACAATCCGGTGCCCTCGTCACGCATGGCGCAACTACCCCAAAGCATTCTTGAGTGAAGAGTATCCCGATGTCGGCCGCGAGGCCTATAGCTTTGTCAGATTGTGCGCCTTCGCGGGCGGACCACACTACTTTTTCGTCAACACGCCGCAAACCGTTGAAGACATCAACTCCATTCTGTTGGGTCTAGGACAGCCCAAAGCGAACCTCTGGGGGTTCGGCTACGGCACCATCGTGGCCCAGTCCTACGCCACGAGGTGGCCTGAAAATGTTGGTAGGATGGTCTTTGACAGTACCTCTGATATGGATCAATGGTACAAGAAGAAGTACCACGAAACGCGATATCAAGATACAGACGCCGTGTTTCAGGCGCGGCTCGGAGACTGTGTCGACCTGGGGAGCGACTGCCCCCTCTCCAAGTACGGGAATAGCTCAGAAAGTTTGAAGACTGCGATCCTGGCCTTTGGCAAAAAGCTCGCCCTGGGAAGCTACGCGTTTGGGGAGGAAGCCAACTTCACCTACAACCACATGATGGTGTGGATATTCGGAAGCCTGGGCACCAGAGCAAAGTTCCTGGAGATGGCTCGATATCTCGCCGAGTACATGGAGAAAGACGTTGGCGAGGAAGTCGTGGTCATCAAGGCTCCAGAGATTGGGCTCCGCCGAGAATCGGACGCCGCCATATTCTACCAGTGCAACGATGGGAAGAGCGGCAGCAAGCACGATTATCCTCGAGGCGCCCAGAAGATGAATGATGAGATGGCGCGGTACGTCAACAGCTCGTTGTTTGGCATGCACTCGATGCCGCTCTACCACGTCAAGCGGTTCTGGAACGATCTCAAGCAATACCCGTACGAGTGGATTATAGAGCCGATTGTTTGGGTCCCCTTCCCCCCGCTCCTGATGTGCAATACCATGGATCCCTTCACGCCGCTCAGCTCGACCAGGGCTGCCCGCATCAGATGGCCCACCTCCCGGACTATCCAGCTCACCACGTTCGGGCATCCCGCTATCGATATGGTGTCGGAATGCGCCAAGAAGCATCTTCGGAATTACTGGATCAGGGGCATCGTGCCCCATAGCGACGTGCTGTGCGACGCGGAGGAGAAACCAGTGGCGAAGAGGGGGAACGAGGAGGAGTGATTTGATTTGGTACACAGGCCAAATAACATCATTGCCTGGCCCTTGTTAGAGGTTTTTGAGGTATCGATGTCCGTGCCTAGTCTATTGCCGTAAACTGTGATGATTTTGTTGTGTTCACTTGGTTTATTTGTGTGATGAAGTCACATGTGTTGCTCGATTTCGGGGTATCATTTCAATGCTTTTCTTACAGCTATAATTAATTGATTTATATACAAATAAGTACGGTACTTGTCATGCACCCGATTCTCTCTTCACCGAATTTAAGGGACACCACCATATTTGGATTGGCCCCTGGCTTCTGATAAACTCCTCGCGCCATCGCTCCCACACCCGCCACTTGCTTCGCAAATCAACCAACTTCGAAGACACAAGCCAACACCCCCCCCCCCCCCCCCCCCCCCCAAGGAACCACTTGCCAGCGGCCACCAGAGACACATCAAGCAGGGCTGCGGCACACGGCCTCGATGTTGTTCCCGGCGGCATCAAGGACGAAGGCGCCGTAGTAGTCGGGGTGGTAGTGGGCTCGGAGACCCGGTGCGCCGTTGTCCTTGGCCCCGGCCTTGAGAGCGGCGGCGTGGAAGGCATCCACGGTGGCACGGTCTAGGGCCAGTGTTAGCAATGTTCTCGTCTTTTTCTTCTTCTTTTGACACCTGAACTGACCCTTGGCGCGGAAGGCAATGTGGCAGGGGCGGTTGGGCGGGTTGTCGACGCCGATGACCCAGAAGTCGGGGGTCTCGTCGGTGTCTGCTGGTCCCAGACCCGTGACGGTTGGTCCGAATTGCAGTCTGATCCCGTAGCCCAGGGGGGCCAGAGCAGCGAGGTACATCTCGAGGGCGCTGGCGACGTCGCTCTCGGGGACGAGGAGGCTTACGTGGTCCAGAGGCATGTTGTTGGTGTTGGGGGGGGGGGAATTTAAGAAAGAGTCAATTGAACTGAGGGATGCTCTGTCTGATGAGATTGAATAGCTTGAGACTACGAAGAAAGGCTTCAGCTCTTTTTATACTACATGGCGGATTCCTGTCTCCTAGAGAGTTTCGCTAGCTCGTGCTCAAGAATTCTGGATTTCTGAGGCGGCGTCTGTCTCTGGACTAAAATTCACGGCCATGGTGAAGCTGTGAGGGGGAGGAGGGGAGTGACTCAAATAACCGGACTATGATTATGGTAGAACTAGAGAGAGGTAATCAGCCAATATTGTCAGTCCCCAGTTTCAGCCGCACGCCGGATCATCCAGGTGAAGTATGTCACAATATTGGATCACCTTACTACTATTAGCCTGGAAGTGCTTGTATCCTGCTGGCTAGTCATCGGTAAGTGATTTCTCATCCGACTAATGCACCTTGCGAGCAAAAGATGCATCGAGCTGAGAGAAACCTAGCCTTGAATCAGACCACCGGCTGGCTGTGACTCTTAACTCGGAGCAGCTGGGGTGATTTACCACCATTCTAATTCCGATCACAAGATATAGACAACTATGTATGCCTTGGAGTAATAAAAGTTCTATCGATATGCCATCTATCGATGCCAATCATCAATCTTGCTTGTCCAGCGTGGTATTTTCTCGTGTAAAACTGTGCTAGCAGGGCTGGCCTTTGCTTCCAGGTGAGGGGATTTTTGTTTCATGATGAGCATCCAACTGCTTGGGACTGACTCAGCTTCCACGAGGAACAATTGACGACTGTAGTGGACAAAAGTGCTGGTACTAGAGAGGCAAAGTCAGCGAGAAAAGGACGATCGAGTGCCGATTCGACGGCACCTGAAACACGCCTGCCAAGCCGGTAGTTCTGCCAGGGGAAACTCCCGTATTCTGGGGTCAGTCCATCTTCGTGCAGACTCTCAAACATCACCAAGTGGGTAGACTCAAAAAGACGTCGAACCCTTCCTCATAAGGCTGCCGGCCGCATGACGCCAAGGAACAGCACTATTCCTCTCTCAATCGCACCTTGCGAGCGTTGAAACGACTGGCAATAACCTTAACCGCCCACAAGGGTCAAAGTTGCTTTTGATGGCTGCGGGCGACACCATTTGTCTGCAGATTTTTTCGAATCGCTTACTCGATTTGGAGATGTTCTCGACTCCTGGGACGTTAGACGATTGACCAGCATCGAGATGCCGAGGTTCGCGATGGCCGCTCGTACTGGGAGGCCAAACAATCGCGTCGTCTGGGCGTGAGGCCGTAGCTTGCAGCCGGACACGGGCCTTGGCATCTTTCCTCGCCGGCGATGGCATTCAGGTATATAAAACTGCCAGGACGAAGCATCTTCTTGGACTTGGCTCATCATTCACATCTCAACCAAAAAGGCCAACTTGAAGCCCGCCGATCTACGCTGGACGTCCCTCTCTTTACTTCACTTCACACAACTACATTCGTTTCAATCAATCACCATGAAGTTCCTCCCTGCCCTCACAGCTTTCGCTTGCCTCGCTGCTGCGGCTCCCGCAGAGCTTGATACCCGCCAGCTTGGCTCCAGCACCGCTACTGACCTCGAGAATGGCCAGAGCAGCAACTGCCCTTCTGCCATTCTCATCTTCGCTCGCGGCTCAACCGAGACCGGAAACATGGTATGCTCGCCCGCGCTTGGGATTTACCCGAAGTTACTGGGTGTGGAGGCTCTATATCTAACTGCGTACCGAACAGGGCATGAGTGTCGGCACCTCTCTCTCGGGAGCTCTCAAGAAGAAGGTCAGCGGCATCTGGATCCAGGGCGTCGGCGGCCCTTACGGTGCTACCCTCGGCGACAACGCTCTGCCTCGAGGCTCCAGCGCCGCCGCCATCAAGGAGGGTGTTCGCCTGATGAACCTCGCCCACGAGAAGTGCCCCAACGCGGCCATCCTGACCGGAGGATACAGGTAAGCCGTTTGACACTCAGAACCTCTACTTGCTCCAGTAGACTAACAATAAATCTGCTCATCAGCCAGGGAAGCGCCCTCATTGCGGCAGCCATCACGGACTTGGATTCTGCAGTACGTGAGCAGGTCAAGGGCGCTGCTTTGTTTGGGTACACCCAGAACAAGCAGAACAAGGGCCAGATCCCCAGCTACCCCGCCGACAGGACCAAGGTCTTCTGCGCTTCCGGCGATCTGGTCTGCGAGGGCAGCCTCGTTGTCGCCGCCCCTCACTTCACCTACGGCAGTTCCGCCAGCGGCGAGGGCGCCGATTTCCTCGCTGGCAAGGTCTCCAGCTAAGCACCCAGCCCATGGCATCTGGTGTTTGGATAGGTATCGTGGGTGACAAGGTGATGGCCGCTGGACCAAGGCGCTGGTAGCATTGTCTGGTGGACCATCTTGGGTATGGGGAGCAATTATTTCCTACATTCGTTTTCTGGAATTGGCCATTCCATGGTTAGGATAGTTGTTGGGAGTTTTGAGATGAAAATAGAAACGTTTGAGCTCACACATGGCAAACCTTGCACCCGTCCACTTTGAAACCCAAAGGCCCATTTCCTGCATGAAACGCGGAGCGCCTGGGTCCGATACTACGTTTTCTATACTATATAGCGAACTTTGGAGTCCCTCGTATCGGGTCAGTTTGATGGCTCGTAGTGGAGTGAGCGGAGGATTTGCGATCGGCAAGACCAGTACCGCGGGATACGGACAGGGTCGAAGTCGTCGCGATTTTAGTACCCCCGATGTGGGAGAGGTTGGGTATGAGATGCCGAATTGGCTAAAGAGCCTCCTATAGGGCGTAGACAAGACATATTGACAGAGCTGGGTCGTAGGAGGCATCCCGTCGTCGACGCCAGTAAGCCCATGAGGGCTACATTGGTGGTAGATATAGATATGTGAAGGCTTGACGTGCGACCATGTTCAGAAATGGGCAAATAGAACATTCTTTATTCATTTAGCCTTCTGGTAGAGACTTGGGTTCTATTCGTTTGTCAACAATCACCCTGAAGCTGCTGAAGGTGGAATCAGAGGCAATTCCCAGCCTGCTGCTCAGCCAGCCGGATCCTGCCGCCCATCAGATGTTCCAATGTCACGGAACCTTGATCGCACAAATGTTACGCAAAACTTGAATTCAAGGAGAAATCAAAAGGGAATGTATCATTTGTTTGTCAGGGCTCGGGTGTTCTTCTCGGCCTTGGAACATACCGCCGAGTGGGATGCAAAGTGGGATGCGGGTGGGATGTAGAGATGCCCTCAATTAATCACCAATCCCTCTTGACTAAGCTCTCGACTGTTCGGCCTAGCTGATTTTATTAAATAAAACCGTATCGCTGAAATCTCTGGCGAGTGGTGATTCTGCTGAGTTTGTTCAAAAGCAAAATCAGAACCCCCTCAAACGCGAGCAGCATGGCAGCCACACTCGATTCCATATTGTCCTACCTGCTGGACGAGGCCAGTCGTCGTCACTCACAGGTCGACAGTGATGACGATGAGCATGAGAACGCTTCCTCATTCTTCCAACATTATAAATCCCACTTGGACCATCTCGACGTCTCATCCAAGCACAGACTTCTGCACCAACTGCTCTGCGTCCGTCCACCGAACCCGCGTCTCCCCGACGACATTCTCCCACACATCGACTCACTCTTCAATGGCAAGAAATCCAGTCGTATTCTCATTCAATCACAGTCTCTGCCCCCCATCAGGGTCTTCAAGCGGAACCCTCGGTCTGACGTTAAAGTCACACTCTGGAGAGGAGACATTACCACCTTGGCCGGGGTTACAGCGATTACAAATGCGGCCAACGGCCAGATGCTCGGGTGTTTCCAGCCGTCTCACAGGTGTATTGACAATGTAATTCACTCATGGGCTGGCCCCCGCCTAAGAGATGAGTGCTTCGATACAATGAACAGCGCAAGAGGTGGAATAGACGTACCGCCGGGCGAGGCGATTGTAACGAAGGGATACGCACTCCCGAGTCCCTTTGTGATTCATACTGTTGGGCCTCAACTCACCCGAGGGGAAACTCCAAGTGAAAAAAAAATATCACAGCTCCAATCTTGTTATAGGTCCGTTCTCAGCGAAACCGAGCGCTTGCCAAGCGACGAAGATGGCCGGAAGGCGGTTGCTCTGTGTTGCATTTCAACGGGCCTCTTCGCTTTCCCTGCAGATCAAGCGGCCTCGATCGCCGTGAAAGAAGTCAATGCATGGCTTGAAGAGCACCAGGAGACGTCAATAACAGACGTGGTTTTCAACGTCTTCACTGAATCTGACCACGAGATCTACAAGAGCATCTTTGCCAAGCTCGGAAATGTCGAGCCACAGAATCCAGGCATCCCGTTGCCCTCTATTCAATCAGAGTCGCTTTCCATCGCTCGCCAGTGGTTGAACTCGGCGGATGCTGTGCTCGTCACGGCAGGGGCAGGCATTTCCGCTGCCGACGGCCTTGACTACACATCAACAACTCTCTTTGCCAAACACTTCCCTGGGTTTCTCAAGTACGGCCTGCGCAGGCTCTACGACGTCTTTGGGTTCGCCGAGTGGCCGTCCGAGAAGGATCGCTGGGGTTACTACTTCACCCACCTCAACATGGTACGGAACTGGCCGGCGTCCCCCATGTACGATTCTCTGATCACCTGGCTCGCCCGGTTCGGCGATGACGCCCACGTGAGGACGTCTAACGCGGACGGGTTGTTCTTGGCAAACGGCCTTCCTGAGGAGAGGCTTTCTACGCCCCAGGGGGCCTACGCCGTGCTTCAGTGTATGGATAACTGCAGACCCGAGGCCACAGCACCCTCGCTGCCCTTGTTGAAAGACGCAGAGAAGTTTCTAGATCCGATCACCCAGAGGCTGAACAATCCAGAGAAGATCCCCATATGCCAGTTCTGCGGGGGCAAGATGTTCATTTGCGTGCGGGCCAGCTCCAAGTTCAACGAGGGGCCCTTTGCGAAAGGAGAGGCCCAGTGGCGAAGCTTCCGTAGGCGAGTGATGGAGGACGAGAAAAAGTCCGTGGTGATACTCGAGCTGGGCGCGGGCATGAACACACCAGGCGTGTTGCGCTGGCCAGATGAGAAACTGGCAGAGCGGTCGGGGGGCCGGGTGAAGCTGGTTCGTGTCGGGATGGGCCTGGACGCGTCTGTTCCTGGAGAGCTGGAGGCAGCGGGTGCGGGGATTGCTATTGATGGCGACATCAAGCTCGCCCTATCTTTCTTGCTGCAGGGGCAGTCGTCGATGAGTGTCTCTTGATTTGGTTGGATCCTGGTGGGCCCCGAACAGCGTCATGATCTGCCCGACGCTTTTCGGATGCGGCCCCGAAACTCACCTCCGTACTCCTGCTCCATCGTGGGATTACCGGACTTAAAGGCTCATGATTATAAGTGAAATAAATGGTTAAAAAAGTATAAATATAAGAATATTGAGTAGAGATTCTAATTCAACAATTAATCCTCATCCAATCACTTACATATCTACATATCCCATACCAACATGGCTGCCCCTACCAAGGTCCAATTCAAAGCACGTCAACTTACCATCGCCGGAGAGCTTCATGCCCCAGCTGAGGGATCCCATGACCGCAAAGGCGCTGCAGTGGTTGTGAGCCATCCTATGGCCGGTGTGAAAGAGCAGACTTCTTCCGACTATGCCCGATCGCTCTCCAAAGCAGGCTTCTATGCTCTTACCTTTGATGCTGGCTATCAAGGCGAGAGTTCTGGGGAACCCCGTGGCCTTGAGGACCCTGGCCAGAGAGTTGAGGACATAAAGTCTGCCGTCAGCTATCTCGTCAGTCTGACCGACAAGATAAACCCTGAAAGGATTGGTGTTCTGGGAATCTGTGCCTCTGGCGGGTATGTCTCGTCCGCAGCGCAATCCGACCTTCGAATCCGTGCCGTGGCCACAGTCAGCGGCGCTTGCGTCGGTGCCCTCACACGCAACGGTGGCATTTACGGGCACCTGAAAGAAAACCCCGTCGCCATTGAAGGGGCCTTGAAAGCTGCGGCGCAATGGCGTAACGCGGAAGCTACTTCTGGTGTTGCTTCAGAGGCTCCCGTCATGGTCGACAGCGACCCCAGCAAGTGGCCGGAAGGCAGCGATCCTTTCCTCAGAGGAGCATCCCAGTATTATGGCACTCCGCGAGGGAGCCACCCACGATCGACGCAAAAGGTTCCGCCTCACAGTTCTGACATGATGATCACCTACGACTCCTTCCACTTCCAGCATCTCATCTCACCACGGCCTCTATTGATGATTGCCGGGAGCGAGGCCGAGTCACTGCATTTTAGCCAGTCTGCTGTCGCTCAGGCGAAGGAGCCGAAGGAGCTCCTTGTTGTCCTGGGGAAGAACCACTTTGATCTGTATGATGACTTGACGGTGTCTGGGCCAAAGCTTTCTGAGTTCTTTGGGAAACACTTGAACTAAGAGCGGAGAATATGGAGAAGAGCTTATAAGAGGGAAAATTGAGTATGTCTACTTGAAAGTTACTTTTTTCTATTCCTGACAAGGATCGAACATACCGAACGAAAAATGAAGCCATATTCATTGTAACCCATTGTCATTTTCCTTGAATCTATACCTCTCCCATAGAATTTATATCTCAGTCTCTTCTTTTAAGATTTGCTATAACTTCTTTTTCCCATTTCACTTTCTCTCTTATTTTTGAACTCCATTTTGGGATGATGCTGCGAGACTTGGGCAGGTGTTGGTCTGACATTACCAACTCATTGCTCCTGTTCCTCGCCGCATGCTCAACTGTCCGAACCTTTTAGCTGATCCATCTAATTTAATGATCGTACCTTCAAACAGTAAAAACATTTTAGCCCAACCAAACCATAGTTCCATTACTCAGTTCTGGACCTGAGAATCTCTCTGAACTGCGCGAGGGCTTCGGAAATCGTAGCCTGACGGACCTGATCGCGGTCACCAGGGAAATGAAACGGCCCCAAGTTCCAGCTCTTCTCAGGCGAAGCAATGCCGATGAAGACCATCCCGACGGGCTTCCCGTCCTGGGTGCCGGGACCAGCCACCCCCGTGGTGCCAATGCCCCATGTGGCTGGATCCTCGATGGCCGTGATGCTGAGAGCGCCGGCGGCCATCTGCTGGGCCACGTCGCCGTGGATCACGCCGTGCTGTGAAATCAGGTCCGCGTCGACGTTGAGCAGCTGCTGCTTGAGGGGCGTCGCGTACGAGACGACTCCGCCGCGGAAGACGGCGCTGGCACCGCCGACGGATGTGAGCGCTGCCATGACGCCTCCGCCGGTCAGGGATTCAGCCACGCCGACGGTTTCGCCTGCTTGCTTGAGGAGGACGATTACATCTCCGGCGATGTCGCGAAGTGTCTCGGTAGTGCGCTTGATGTACTGTGGTTGGATGGCCATGACGGTTGGTGTGAATCAACGAGTCGCGAGTAGGGCTGTGTATAGAATGATGCCTATGAAGTTGAGAATGAGGGAAGTAGATGGGTTCTATTTCTTCGACGCCGGAGGACTCTTTCGCTAGATTAAATAATAAAAATCAGATGCCAGCCCATTGCTTGTTACACTTCTGGCTCCGCCTCCTCATACCCATGATGGATGACTCCCGCTCGGTCGCTCATTCTGCTGCCTGGTAAAAGCCTTACCGCTGGTCTTACTGGAGACGACGAAAAAAGGATTTGGAAAGCTGTCATGACACGGATTCCGATTCTTCTGCGCCGCAGCCATTTGTGAGATTACCCACATTAACCCAAGCCACCGGTGTCAGCTTCGACGCCTCGCCATGGGATGATGTGAACAACTGGACGAGATATTTGGTACAGTCTGAGAGCTAATGCGCCCTTTTCAGCTATCGCCATGTCGAGTCACCCGGTGAGTCAGATGAGCTACCCCGTGAATTGAGCTTCAATGTGACGGTTTCAATCAGTACATCATTGAGTGTTACTGATGTGAAGCAGATCACGATCAAGAGCAGCCTTACGTGCGCAAGGCAGTCTCCGAGCGGGGCAAAAATATCGAAATCACCGAAGAGCTGGCTGGAATTTAGATCGGCAGCCTTGTTACTGAATGTTTCTCATTTACTCAGGGTTATGCAGGGATGATTATTTCAATCTTCTTTTTAAACTGCTTCGTGAATTCAGCCCCGCGTGGCATCTACAGCTCAGAGGTCTCGTGAGTCATATCCCCATTCACGATAACTTACTGTTTTAGCCATTATTTTTGATAATTTGTTTGAAAACATGCCGTCGATTGGAGTGATATTTTGTCTACATCTATGAATAGTGTGAGCTATGCAAATTTCTCTAAGTTTCATCATCCTGGCCTTACATTGTAACCTCAGCAAAGCAAACTTTTATAACAAAAGGTAGGATGAGCCATTCAATCAGCCCCCTCCCTTACTCTAATATCGTATATCCGGTCCTCCCAGTTGATCCACCGCATGTAGATGATTTCAATCAGCACGATGAAGACCATACCGGACCCCAGCCCGTACCAAAGACCGCCCAGCTTCAAATCAGGAGGTCCTATCTCCAGCCAAATCGCAAGGGGGACAGCGCCGAGGTAGTTTATCGCCAAAACAATCCAGGCAGCGACTGACTGGCAGCCGAGCCCACGAAGGACTCCGTTGCAGCCTGAGCTGAGCGCGTCGACGATCTGGAACAAGGCGAGGCCGAGAGTCGAGTTGATGGCGATACGGACCACCTCCTCGTCGTTGGAGAAGATCGGGGTCAGGTAGTCACGGAGGAAATAGATGGCCAGGCCGTCCGCCACACCGACAACTAAGAAGATTAGAGAGTACATGGCAGCCGCACGCTGGGCGCGCAGGACGTAGCCCGCACCGAGGAAGACGCCGATCCTGGTACTCACAGCGACGCTGATGGAGAAGGGTATGTGCCAGGTGATGACGGAGACGGTGCTGAGGATGGTCTGCGCGGCGAGGTGGTTCGTGTCGATGTAGGTGGTGCTGACCATGAGGATCTCAAAGGCCCCCCACTCGGCCAGGTTCACAGCCGTGCCCGCGACGGAGAGGCTGAGGAGGTGGCCCCAGCCGTCCAGGGCGTCACGGGACCAGCCTCCCCAGCACTTTAGGGACCAGGGGGCGAAGAAGACGATGTGGCCGAGGAGGAGCAGCGGGCGCAGGTTGTTGGCAATGGCCTGGGCGAGAGCGGCCCCGGGAAGACCGAGGTCGAGCACCATGGTGAAGTACCAGGTCAGCAGGGCATTGATCGGAGTGGTGATGACGAGGACGGCGGTGCCTGACGTGAAGTCGCCCTGTGCCTGCATAAAACGCTTTCCGGCTTCGAAAAAGGCGTACCCGGGAAGGCCAATGAGGGAGACCTGAAGGAAGATGCCGGCCTGGACGGCGAGCTCGTGCTGCTTGATGACCAAGGGGAGGATCAACGGAGAAAATACCCAGAAGACACCAATTGGGATGATGGCGAGAGTCATCAATGCAAGCATTCGTTGCACATGCAGACCGACGTGTGTCACCTGTCCAGAGCCGTAAGCTTGGGCACACACGGTGTCGAGGGCGGTGGCCATGCCCTCGACGAGTGCGTACCCAATGATATTCATGGTCGTCAGGCCTATGCTGGCGGCTCCGAGGTCATTGGAGGTCAAGTGCCCCGCGGCAATAGTGGTGATCAGGGTGGCCGAATACTGGAGGAGATAAGTGATGATCAGGGGAAAGGACTGCTGGCAGATGAGCACACACTCTGAGAACAGGCCGCCATCGGCAAGGAGTTCGGGCGCCAATTCATCGTTGGACGGGGTTTGAGCTTCGCCCAGTAAAGGGGAAGATTCATCCGGAGGCAGAAGCGCCTCTTCCGAGTGTCTCTCTGCAGCGGAACGCATCTTGTCGCTGTCTGGAGGTGATGTTGAACAAAGCTTGGGCTGAGATTTTGCTTCAGTTCCTGGTCTGTGGAGAATCACTGCAGTTCCGGGATTCAGCGAATGACTAATCATCGATTGACAAAGACCTCACCCATCAATTGCTTGTTAGCGCGTATTATCAGAAGAGCTTCACATTCTCAAGATGCAGATAATTGTAATCAATGCTCATTAACATACTTTTAACTGATCATACTCATTCTAATCAAAATTGTCGCACGCTCCAAGTTATCACTGCAAACACAAAGGACTGGTCTATTGATCACTCCATCTCCTCGCTCTCAATGCCACTCTCCTGTCTCAACAATGTGCTTCTGGCACTTGGCTAGCACAGCAGCCTGGCGCGACACCTCGGCCAGCCTCCCGATCACCTGCCCGTTGCAACCAGCGAACCCGTACAGAGCGTAGGGGATCCCAACATCGTTGCAAAACTCCTGGACAAGCTTCTGTGTCTGGCGGAGGTTGTGACGAGGCACGCGGGGGAACAGGTGGTGGATGACCTGAAACTGGAGACCGCCGTGCAGAAAGTCGAGCCATGGGGGACAGTCGACGTCCATGGTGGTCCTCAACTGCCTCTGTGGGAATGACTCTTCCGGTCCGAGGTCTGCAGTGCTCATGGCAAAGTGGGACTGCACAATCTGGAGGTGAACTGGCGATGAAACGAGCTGGCTGATCATGAAGAACCCAAAACGGCTCCAGCCATCTGGGATGCACCTGTAGATGATCCCGTATCCATACCAAGTCCAGAAGAAACACTGCCCAACCAGCTCCAACCAGCGATGCCACGCTCCGGGGCCCTTTTTAGGTCCGCGGCCCATGATGAGATAATCCCAGGACTGGAAGTACAGGTTGAACCGGGCCAGGGAAAGGATCGGATAATATGTATACGCCTGGATCCTCAGCATCATCTTGGCTACAACGTCAAACTTCATCATGCGATTATAGTATGTGGAGCGCAGATCAGAGAAGAACCGGTGGGAGATGGCGAAGAAGGGCAGATGCTCAATGTCGGGGTCATGCTCGGGAGCATTGGTGACGATGTGATGGACATTGTGGCTCCACTTCCACCAACCGAGAGACAGGCCACCCACGAAATCGGCAATGAAGATACCGATCATGCAGTCCAGTTGGTAGTTGTGCGTGATGCCCATGTGCCCGGCGTCATGGGCTGTAAACACAAGCTGATGCCACATCAAACCAAGGCAGATGGCGGCCACCAGGGGGTGCCCATATTTGAGGAAGACAAGCATGCCTGTGAAGAGGGACACGTATCGAATACACTCGACGCCATAGGCCCAGTAATTGCACTTGTAAAGCCCGGCATCCTTGACCCTCTGGTGTAGCTCTCGATACTTGGCAATGATGCTGGCCTGCGTTTCGGTGTCCGGGGATGGGTACTTGTCCAGGTCGAGGGTGATGTGCTCGCGGGTTAGAGTATCAAGAAACGACATGCCATCCATTTGTGCTTCGTGCGAAGAAGCTTCCTTCGCAGGTGGTTGGGAAGTCTGCGCAGAGTCGGTGGTTTTCCCAGCAGCGTGGCGATGTCGCAAACTAAATTCTTCCGTATCGAACGTGGGAGAGGGGGAGCGCGACGCCGGGGAGCTGGGCGAACTCGATGAATCCTGTCCTTTGATACTTTCGCTCTCTACTGACAAAGTCTCCTCTTCGATCTCAGCTTTTGTCCTGAAGTGTCCACCCTGGATTGGGGGAACGAAGTTCTTCCATTGGAAATCGATTCGACCCATTCGGTATCGCAGCATTTGTTCGGCGGCCTCTTTGGAGTGTAAACTGCGAGAACCATGGTCAGCAGGCATTGTTACTTATCTGGCAGTGTCCATGGGAAGCGTCAAGGGCAATTGCGTACACAGTAACCTCGTCGGTCGCATCTCTGCCGACCATGTGCAGGATTGACTTGTCGCCACCTGGGTGGTATGGGATCCAAGCGTCAACTCTCAGAACTTCCTGATTGACAATAATGAGCTTCTTCCCGTCGGCAATCATGGCCTCAATGTCGTCGCGGGACATGAGCGGGAAGGTTCTGGGCTTGGCCGAGCCAGCCGGCGTCTTGGTCGCCATGGCTGGTGGTCGCTGAGGTTCGCAATTGCAGAGAGAAACTCGTCAGCAGCACCCGAAGGTATTTCCCAATGGTTCGAAGTCTGGAAACCAAGTTCGCGAGCTGTCGAGATGGGTGCTGTGCTGTCGAGGGACGCCGAGATGGTTGAGGAGGGGTCTGTTGGGGAAGACGGTGAAGCAGGCCAGGTTTTATGGCCTCGGCGGCCCGCTACTTTTTAGATGCGGGAGCTGGTGCCAGAGCAGAGTCGCCAAAGGATTCAATGGCTGGTGGCTGCACGCTGCCCCACCCCGGTTTCAGGGGTACGTGAGCCGTGGTGGGCCCTGAGGCAGTGCCCTAGCTGTGCGCTACGTGCTGGAATGCTCGCTGCCAAGTGGCTGGCACCCCTCCAGCATCTCTAGCCTGCAGCCTAATCAGATGAGCCATCTAAAGTTAAGCATGTAGTCCTTGAGCCTCATGAGGGTCAATTGTGGTGACATTCAATTAATGTGTTGATTTCCTAGCGCTGTACAGGTTCCTTCCCCCTCATCTCAACTCAGCTTTTCAGATCGCAACACCCACAATTATTGATAAGCGGCTTCGGGTGTTGAAGCCCCCCCTGAAAGTGTGTGGATCTATCAGATCCATCTGGGCAATTTATCTCACCCCTCATTGATCAGTGAGCGAGAGACCAATCCTCCACAAAAAGAAAGGCCCATGTCGCTCTGACATGAGGACCTGCATCTCGCTTCTCAACGCCATAATCCTGGGAACACTTCCAAATGAAACGTAACGTCCCAAGGAGTCGGCTACTGTACCCTTAGAAATTGCCTGTCCAGAACAGCGGGAGTTGCAGGCTACCATATAACCATCATACCGCTTCGATGATCTCAACTTAAACCCTGGTTACTTAACGTATGATGGTACTCCTCGCCGATGCCATGTGTAGGCTGTCACTTTTGGTCAGACCCCTAATATGGAAAGTGAATTCACAAGGAGTGACTTGGTCGCGAAGTTGCGGTGACACCTAATGGCTCCGGAACCGAAGTGTTCTTCTATCCCGAGACTGATGACATGAATCTGCCTCAGAAGCAGGGAGTTTCAGACCGCCTAGCTCGTATGCGACCTCGATTCGTAGCGAGCGTTCAAGAAAGACATCTCTCGCGGAGCAAGAAAAGGCGGCCACCATTCGCTTAGCCATCCGTCACGGTGAACTCTCCAGAGCAAGGTTGAAGGAATGCGATCAGATGCATTTGGACCTACGTGCATGTTTCCATCTATGGAAGCTCCTCCCAAAGTTGGTCGCTAACACCACCAGGTTTGGGTTGTCCAATAGAAACTATCAACGGTTATTTCCGAAAGTAGGGATCAGAGTTCATGGTTGGAGCTGAATGTTTTGAATGGATCTCTCAACCCTGCTTCTTCTCTCGTTCCATCACGGGGAATTTGGATAGATAAGGGTCGAGGTATCCGAAGTACATACTATGTAGTAGTAGGCAGTAACAAAGCAAAGACACGGTGCAGGATTATGCGCTCAAGAGAAAGTAGCCCCTACTCTTCCTCAGTCACTATCAGGAAGTTTTACTTGCACCAACCCCTTCGCCAAATTCCTAGCCATTTCCTTCATAGATTCGCTTGTTGAATCCGAGCTATTGTATTTCTCTCGATCCGTCTCCCACAAAATTTCATGTACACGTACTGGCTTGTCGGGTAGTGGTTCACAATCCTCGTTCAATTCGGCCTGGACCCTGATAGCGATGATCGTGAATGACGTCCAGGTCCGGGTGAAATGCACAAGATATTCTCCTTCTCTATTAGGCCCAAATGTCTCGCACAGCCATTTGTCGTCCATATCCGACGGTCTGCTGCCTTCGAGAAACTTCTGCAGGTCCTCGTGGGAGATGGTCGAATCCCATGAAGCTTGCGCGGGCTTTGAGATGGGATGCGCGATGACACGATCGAGTACGGCATTATCAGAGTCGTGCTCATCTGTAGAAATATCAAGAGATCCCTGAGATGACCCCATGGTTGTTGTGTTTTGATCGACTAATTGCCTAGAGAGTGGTTGATGGGAGGATGAGCGGGGGAGAAGATTAAGCTGAGCTTACTGGCGTTAATTGATGCAGTTGATGGTATTTTTAGCCCCATGTTTAGAGGCAATTTTATTACTAATTACGGCAGCTTTAAATATGGATCTGCTCAGTGCCTTAAACTACTGTGTATTTCTCTATTTGAAAAAATACAACTTGTATTTTTAATACTTGAGAACTTTAGCTATCTAGTTCGACGACCACCAAACTGAATGTGCGGAAGCTAACATCTACTTGGCCATCCAGCCTCCATCAACCTACAATGACATTCATTAGCTATAGAGAAACTGGGAAAGCCTAGAGCATGTCCACTCACCATCAGAATTTCTCCCGTCACATATGAACTTGCCTCGGAAGCAAGGAAAATAGCTGGTCCTTTAAAGTCATCTGGCTTTCCCCAAAATCCCATGGGAATAGTTTTCGCCGCAGCTTCAGAATACGATGGATCTGACCGAGTGTCTGTATTCATATCTGTAGCAACATATCTGCATTTATCTTTAGCATATCGTAATATCGTAGTTGGGTTCTCCGCGAGTTGGTGTCACTCACCCAGGGGCAATAGCGTTGACTCGGATTCCTAATGGGGCCCATTCATTGCTCATCGCCCTCGTCAATTGCCCAATAGCACCCTTGGTCGCCGAGTAAACTGCCGCATTAATCCCGCCCCGGAAAGAAGAGATGCTGGCTATGTTGATTAGACGCCCTCTTATCTTGTTGTTGATCCAGTATTTCCCCATGTCCCTCGAAATGATGAAGGTGGTGTTGAAGTTCACCTCCATCAGAATGTCCAGCTCTGAGTCTGGATGGTCTACCACATCGTACCGGCGCATGATACCAGCTACATTGGCAAGAATATCAACTTGACTCTGGGATATGATAGTGTCCACAAGGCCCACGACATCTTTTCTATCACTCAGATCTGCCTTAGAAACTTTGCAACTGCGACCCAGGCTCTCCACAATGGACTTGGTTGCAGTGTCATTTGTATCTCGCTGCATGGAGTATATTAGAATCAGTATTTATCATGCTCATAGTCAGACATGAATAGGATTATATTTACCTGCACGAGGATGATATCAGCCCCCGCCTCAGCAAGACCAACTGCAATAGACTGGCCGATGCCTCTCGTGCCCCCGGTGACCAAGGCGGTTTTACCTGCGAGAGAAAAGAGATTCATTATGAGACTGTAGATGTGGGTAAAAAAGATAGGGAAGGCTTTCTCAAACGACTTTATTTGCCGTGACAGCTAGAGATAATAGGAGCGGTTATTTATACATAAGGAGGTAGGTATATAGTGGTTGTTGGATCTAGACCCGCTCGGATAGGTCCCGGCTCGGGAAGCGATACCGATGCAATAAGGTAGACGGTTAATGATAATCCTAGTACAACAAGGAAGCTATTCTAAGTTATTTGATGATTTTAGAGATTTAAACTCGTTCATCTTTCTTAATATATTCCTCTGCAGGATGAAACAAGGGGGTTAGCTTTCCGAAGTCTCGACCAACAGCAGCACGATCAGTAACTCTAAGAATCTCGGTTCGAGTACCAGTCTCAAGCCTAGAGCCTGTATAGAAGAATCAGAGAGAGCAGCGTTAAAACGTATTTGTAAATATGGGGGAAATGTTTTCGGGGCCCTCGAAAGCCGCTTTCTCTCATCGTCAGGAACCAACAACATGCTAAATAAGTAGCCTGGTAGTTCTCTAGCCATGAAATGTGATAAGCCAGAGCGGCTCATGTTGAGCAACGAAAACACACTAAAAACACAAAGCGGCCCAACTTGTCACCTTATGTGGCGCTTGCCGGTCCAGCGAGTACCATCAAGAAGTTCTCAGCTAATCTAAGTACCCAATAATCACCCCCTCTTTCTCAGTGGGAATTTTCGGCTATCTGGATCCGAGTGCGTGCACAAAAGGTTTGTCCGCGTCTGTGTCCTGGCTTGCTCTAGTCATAAGTTGGCTCATCTTTGTTCTTGGGGAAAAAAAAGGTCTAGAGTTTACGAGTCCTTGTTGCCTGCACCCAGCGCAGACTCGTACAAGAGACCATTGTTCTCAAACACAAGTCCCTCATCCGTATTGTTTCATTCAGCCTATTTAATTGAGAAATGAGGCTCCTGAATTGCATAAAACCCAAACTGTTGATATCCCCCCAATCGTCCGCAACCACAAAGCACTTGAAAATACAAGTCCCAAGGCTAAACCGGAACTTGACGACCACCCTATCTATGATGCAACCTCTCGCCCAACTAGAGCAAATGCGAAACGATGGCGGTTCTTCTGGCGAACCCGAATGCCATATTCTCCGTCTGCCCACGGAATTGTTCCAAATAGTAATCGACTGTTTATCGGAAGATGAAGTTGCGTCCACAGAAAAGAACTTACTTTCCCTATGTCTCAGCTCCAAGGCATTGTTAATACAAGCAAAAAGCCGCCTCTACAAATTCAATGCAGACTGGGTAAGTGCGGAAAAGAAGCCTCGCCGCCGATGGGCTTGTCTTGATTGGGCCATCCAAAGTGGTCGCAAAGAGACCGTGGAGTCGGTGATGAACTTCACTCCAGAAGTGTGCGAGCTCCATCACCTCAGCAGGGCTATCCGGAAGAAACACTTCGAAATTGCATGGATGTTGTTGAAACGGGAACCTTTGCATACCAAGCTCAAGACCAGGACACAAGACAGTCCTATCTTCGCAGCAGTTGAAGCAGGCCACACTCAGCTAATTGATGATATCATCAAAATTCAAAAAGGCTTGGACGTCTCGATGATGGATCGAAAAGGCAACACAGTTCTTCACCACGCGTGCCGACACGGTCACTTGAATTTAGTACGACGATTTCTTGACGAAAAAGCAAACCCTTACGCTCCTGGCAAATCTATACCCGCAATCTCACCCTTAATGTCAGCCATTCAGTGCGGCCTTCCAACAGCAAGATATGCAATCATAGAAACAATTCTAGCATCCAGGCCAAGCTTTCAACATTCTGATCGAGAATACAGAGATTACATGTGGCGCATTGCTCGGAAATGTAATTTAGATGATCTAAAGCTCTTCATGAGAAGAGGATTCTTCAACCAATTTTTGAACGATCCGCCAGATTGCTCTACCCGCCTCGAAAGATGGCTGTACTGGTTCGGAGAAGCCGGCATATATGGCACGGAAATATTTCGAGGGCTTCTTGAGCTTTGCCCCCGCGAACACTTCACCGATATTCTATTCAACGAAGTGTTTGCTATGATTCCGATTCCGAAAGTGAGCGGCGTCATCGGGGTGAGAGAGGTCAAGATATTGATAGATCGCTTTAAGCCAACCGCAATCACCGACTTTTGGCCAACAACTCACGATTCGCTTCAACGTGCGATGTCGCACGCCATTAGGAGGGATGAAGTTGACTTGATGGAATCTCTTCTGCATTTCTATGGCCTTGTTGGACAAAGTCAAGACCCTGAATTCAACCTACGGCCCTCAAAATGGAACATGATTATGTATATTATAGAATTCCCACACAGCTCTGGGATGCTCAAACTTCTTCTCCGCCACGGGTTCGACGTCAATCATGTAGAACATGGTCCAGATGGCCAGACAACGCTGCAGCGAGCCATCAAAGAAGTCCAAGCTTATGAGGCAGGTATTGAAGCGATAAAAGACATGATACCAATGGTCGAAAACATCAATGCGGTCGATGGTAGGGAACGCACTGCTCTACACCTGTGTGTGACACCTCAAGCAACACCTCAACGAAAGGCAGTCCTCGACAGAGTCATGGAAATTGCCAACATTTTGATCAACAACGAAGCTAAGCTTTCGGCTCGTGATCATGAGGGAAACACGCCGCTTCACTTCGCTGCATCAAGTCGCCATCTAGATCCATTCGTGCAATTCTTCCTTGATCGGGGTGCACGCATAGACGCCCTGAACCACAATGGAGAAACACCGCTTAGGTTTCTTATGGCATGGGGGGATTCTCCGACAGAAGAAACTCCGAGAGACAGGCTTTGGTTATCCGATATCTCTGGAGATTACCCCGGTTTATCAATGAGTGGTTTATCGATCAATTAGACAGATCTAACTAATCGCTTACTGCAATAAACCTTCCATTCATTAAGTTGGTTAGATTGGCTAGATTTTTATTTGATCGATTGCTTGCTATACTTTGCGAAATATTGCTACATCTCTGCTAACCCTCAATATCCAAGCGCTATCCAATGACCATACAGCTGTCTAATGATCCCTTGAGTTTGGAATTCTTTTTTTGAAAGAGTGGTGGTGGATTTTGGCGGCCCCTTGAATATTGATGAATACGGCGGTTGGCATAGATGTCGAATGAATGTGGCTAATCCATCCCGGCACAAGAGTGCATCGAAATCTTCGGTGATTCTTCTCGTATATGTCAAGGCCATGGACCACGCCAGGGCTATACACAATCTTCATGGGGGCATCTGACTTGAAACTTTTGAAGATTTGATCCCCTCCCTATAAAGTCCCAAGAAAAGTAGATACTATTGAGACTTTGTGGCCCCTTTCCCCTACGCAAGCTAACTGAACTAGCCTAATTCCATTTTGAGACGGTACCGACAAGCTGGGGAGCCTGTCCATGGACCCTGATTGGATTTGTAGAGCGAAGACGTTCGAGAAGGGACATATTAATTTCATCGGAGGGGACACTCAGATAGGCTGCGAATAATCAACTAGCGAGTATTCCACCCAAAGAGCTTCTAGTAATTTCTAAAGCGTGGCAGCCTTCTCACTGAATACACCCGAGTGAGTTGCTGTGAACTCTACCATACCCAGCACATGGTTTGAAAGTACGCTGATTAGATGCAATTTGCAACTGGGTTTAATGTCTATACCGTCAGAAAATAAAAACGGCTGCTCAGCGTATGTTCTCAACATCAAATAGTACATGTATTGATGTTGGCATGATTATATATCCCTGGTTCCTCACGTTCCGGATTAGAGGCTGCGTGCTCCGCCTTGGGTTTTGTCATTTGCGAAAGACACTCATGCCCATCAAGTGATTCTCCGGTCGACTCTCAGAAAAGGCTGGAGCTGCATTGGCAGATTCGATATTGCCGGCCAAGGCACAGGGCTTTGCGGGGTGGATGGCTGAGCAGTGCGCCTGTTGTGGCTGTGCCCGTTGCATCGTGGCGAGGGATCGGACGATGCAATGGGCCAGGTCCTGGGAGGCCACCGCATAAGAATGGGCTGCTGTTGGCTGGGCAGGGGTAAGATGCTCGCTTGCGATTGGCCATTCACTGTCTCGCAATGCAACGGCCTCTTAGCTGACTGACGCCTTGGTCACCATCCAACGGCGCCTTTCGTCGCGCCTCACTGTGTATGTCCACTGAGCATCCCATGACTCACCCGGGGAACCTCGATGTATAAATCCTCGCCAGTCCGTCCCACCAACCTCAGGAATCAACTCAAAACACTCTAACTGCACCAAAATTTCACTCTGAGTCTCGTTCGCCAATTGCCCTCACTCAGCCTGAACATATCTTGCCCTCTATCCCTTCTTATCACCTCCCGCAACCTTGCTTGCCCATTTTATCATTCAAGCTATGCCTAATCTCATAGTGAGCGCCACCCTCAAGATGGAAAAGCATGTCTGCATGCATGTTCGTTGCCGGCCTCCAGCCTTCCGCCCCCCGAAACAAAAGTCACTTCCCCATTAGCCCAAAGAGAGAATGAGACAGTGTCGTTCTTTGCGCAGCGCAAAGTTCTGAACTTTCTCCTTAACAATCGAGATGTTTGAAGTTCCCGCCCGCTGGTGGGATCTCAAATTCTCTACGAAACATCGATTTCCTTTTTTTCTTTTGTTTCTCTCCTCGAATTTATGATTTGGAAATCTGGCGTCTGCGCGCATCTCGAATGGAATCGACCTCGTTGAGAGAGCATTCGGTCAATCCAACATGGAACCGTGTTTTCATGTTTTCCGCCCGCATCATTTCTCTCAGACCAATCGCCTCCGCAATCCAACATTGAACCATGTTATGCCGATCAGATGGACGTCTGCGCGCATCTCAGGTGGAAGCGATCCAAATACCTCTCAAGACAAAGTCATCAGGGAGCAACTCTCAGCCCGATCGCCTTCGGTCAATCCAACATTGAACCGTGTTAAGCCGATCAGATACGCGATGCTTGAGCGCATCTCACGTGGAATCGACCTAAATACTCAACACAGGTCTTGACAGAACAGCCAAAGACCAATCGGCTTCGGTCAATCCAACATTGAACCATGTTATGCTTTTCACCTCTATCATTTTGTTTTCATTTCCTATTTCATTTTGTTTTGCTCTCTTTGATTCTTTTTCTCTTTTGCTTGCCATCGGCCTCCTGTACTCGGATGCAGCCATGAATCAACGGACCTAGACAAGTCGCAAAAAGGTCTCCAACATCGAACCAGGACAAAGAGTCCATATGTCGGATGTTCTCTCAGCGCTACAGAATTACACTTTCGACAACTTCAGCAACCCGCAGACGGTCTGCCAACAAATTCACATTGCCTCCTGTCCACCATGGATTGGGACAAACCTTATCGCCAAAACTACCCGTTCGAGATGGACGGCAACTTTTCCACCGACCAAACATATCTTTTGGACCACCACCACCCAACACACAATGGAAATTATGAGCAACAAGGGGAAAGCCAGTACTGGCAAAACTCAACAATGAAATATCCTCCTCCACATTCAACAACTACCGAAAGTGGATCGGAGGGATATTCCTTCGACTCTGGCTCAACCCCCTGTGGACTCCCTTCAACTACAACATCGTCCCCGTATGCTCTCCCATGTCACGACTTTCAAGACTTTGGAATATCCGGATCTGGCATTGACTTTACCGACGAGGAGATATGGGAATGGCTACAGTCGAATCCTTTAGACTCGATACCATCCTACAACCCCTCTCTATTCGAGAACCAAGATACTACCCAAGTCTGCCCTGTCTCTCAAATGGAGCGTCCTCTCCTGCCGAAGCCAGAGGCTCCAGCCTCTATTCAAGCAGCCAATCCGCCAACTCCAGTCGAAGTCGTCAAGGTAGAGCCAAGGAGGCGAAGGAGGAAGAACCCTGCAGATCTTCGGTATGTGCCAACATAAAACACACCCGCAACTCTCCCCCTCATAAATCCAGACTAACAACTCCTATGTGGTTTATAGAAAAAATCGCCGCAAGCAAGAGAAGCCAGAGAAGTGCCTTGTATGTGGGAAAGGCCATGCGGATACCAGGGCGCTAGAACGTCATATTGTTTCGAACCATCGTGATGAAGCTATCCAGCTAGGCCTTGATGTATCCAAGGTGGACTGCCCTTATTGTGCTCAGACCTTTGATAAAATACGAAAGGATAGATTGACGAGGCACGTCAAAACCCAGCACCCTGATTTGTACCAATATCAATTTCAATTCCATTAATTACTGCATTATCCTGCAAAGCCTCCGTGAGTAGATTTGCCTGGCACTTTAGCCACTATTTTGTTGTCCGTTTCAATATCAGGGTGAGAACCGACTTTGATACCTTAATTGAATATCATTCATCGTCACTGGATCCAGATCCATCATCATCAGACCCGCTATCATCAGACTCCTCTGTCCACGTCGTAAACTGTCGGCCATCGCATAGTTGAACCCACCCATTGAGATCCATCGTCTTCAGTACGGTGCTGAACCCTTGCGTGCCTTTGGCATTAGAGATCTTTTCTCTCGTCTTTGCGCGGACCGAGCCTGGAGCGCCCTTGGGGTACTCGATGTGAAACACAGGCTTGTTGGCCTTGATGAAGGCCTGGAATGTCTGGCCCTCATTGTACTCGACGCACTGCTCGTTCACCTGGAAGTCAACGACGTTGATGACGTCGGATATGATTTCGCCCGCATTCTTAAGCCCAATACTCATGCCGTGCCTACGCGCCTCGTAAGACAGGAACTTGATGAAATCAATCGAATCTGCCTTGGTCAGACCAAATCCGTTCTTGTGGGACTAGAAGGTACTGATTAGCCGCTTGAGAGGTAACAGAAGAAAAGTAAAGGGAACGTACGTAACCGTCGACATTGTCCGGGTCAATGGCGTCGCAGCCTTTTTCCGCGGCAAGCTGGATTCTCTTGGCCATGATGGCGCGAACATTCCCACTCCGCACATCCACCCATCGCTCGTCCCAATCGTCCATGGGCTTGCCCAGGTCTGCCTTGCCGAATTGGCGCGAATCGGGGCGCCATTTCTCATAGGTGCCGGCGCTGAAGTAGCCAATGACCTTCTTCCCCAGCCTATGAAGCTTGGCGATGGTCTCGGCAGAGTTGTCGTACACGTCAATGTCGTACACGTCCACGTCGGGTTGGATGGAAGGCTCCTCATTGTCAGGACCGAATTTCAGCGGCGACTTGAGCACAATCTGCCATGATGCTCCGACGGCTGGGGTCCATGGCGCCCGAGAGCCGTGCATTTCGTCCGTGGAGTGATGAGGCTATATGAGGTGTGTAGATGAGTGAAAGTGTCTGGTTGATGGGCCGAAGGACAGAGCTGGAACAGTCTTATAACAAAAGGCCGTTCATGCTCCGCCCCGCTGGCCAGTTCTAGATCGCAGCTGCGTAAAGATTAGTACATACCAAGCCTTTGCTTTTCCCCGCACCGGCTCAAGGCCAAGTAATTGCTTCAATCAATGATTGGCTTCCAGCTCTCGAGGTGCAAGAGTGCTTACGACGCTGTGTCCATATTACTATGATTCAGTGGCTGATCGGCCCGCATGGCTTCATTTCCCTTCAACACTTCGGCAGCATCCTCCAAAATGGACTATAAAGTGACCGTCGCTGCAGTTCACGCTGCGCCCGTTTTCATGGACAAAGCGGCCACTACCGAGAAGGTCATCAAATTAATTGAACAAGCTGGCCGGGAGAAGATCGAGCTGCTCGTCTTCCCGGAGACATTCATTCCTGGATATCCCGTAAGCCTAGACTTCCCATACCCTCCTTTGATCCTCCAGCCACCCGGCACTATTCATATTTAGCCCACCGTCTAAACTCGAACAGTACTGGATCGAATGCTACCCGCCACTGACCCAGGTCAATGCCCTCGCCCTATACGCCGATCAGAGCGTGGTGATCGAGGACGGCGACGAGATCAAGCAGATCCAGGCTGCCTGCCGCAGCGCAGGCACGGCCATCAGCCTCGGCATCTCCGAAAGGTCATCCCAGGGCTACACGCTCTTCAATTCCCAAGTCAACATCGACGCTGACGGGACCCTGCTCGGTGTTCACCGCAAGCTCCAACCGACCTATGCCGAGCGCTTTGTCTGGGCGCAGGGAGGCGGCCACACTCTGCGCACATGCCGGCCAAAGGCATCGGGGAAGCCTTATAACCTTGGCGGCCTGTGCTGCTGGGAGCATACCATGAACGGCGCCCGCCAGGCGCTGATCTCCCAACATCAACAAATCCATGCTGGCGCGTGGCCGGCGCTCTCAACCATGGCAGGATTTACCTCGGTTGCCAATGCGCAGATCGAGGCGCTGATGAAGACGCATGCGCTCACTGCCCAGGTCTTTGTTGTCACGGCCTCCAACTATGTCGATCAGGCCTGTCTTGACTGGATGGAGGGGCACCTGGGCAAGCAGGATTTCGTCAACCTGGGCGGAGGCTGGTCCGCGGTCATCCACCCGTTTTGCTCTTTTCTTGCTGGTCCGCATACCGGGTCTGAGGAGAAGCTGGTCACTTCCGAGGTGGACCTATCGCAGTTGGGACAGGTCAAGGTCTGGATTGATGGTGCGGGCCATTACCGACGTCCGGAAGTGCTTCAGTTCAACGTGGATCAACGGCCGTTGTGGGAGGATGAGAACTGGGAGCTAGCGCAGCCTGAGCCTGCTGAAACCAAGACGGAGAATCCAACTCCATAGATATCTCGCCATTTTCTCTCAAATATCTATGAAGTTGGATGTTGAAGTTGGCGTGTTGCATGCTTTCCCTAGTTGGCCGGTGAAATGAATTTGTTTCGAACATGGCTGAAGCCCACTTCTATATAAGATAGAAATATACTCTGCCCTCTTATTTCAACCTTTGATTTCAATTATATTTCTCTCCTTTTTGTGTTCTTGTGCTAGAGGATATAAAACTCTGACCTACGTCTAGCTAGACATGCCTCAATGTCAAATTCAGCATTCCTCCCTCATATCAAGTACTCTTCCAAATTGGATGAGCTATAGGGCAGCGCGGCTGATAATACAATTAGCTCCGAAACTATATATCAGCATATCTATGTGGTTGTTGTCTGTCCAAGCTGAACGCACGCCCGCTATGGCCGGCGATGCGAAAGACAAGACGCCACAATATCGGGCAAAATCTCTGTTACCTCAAATACCATATTGGTCTTTTCACTAGTAAATTTCAACTCACAATCCAGCCGATTTGCACTGTCTCTCTCTCTCTATCTGTCGCTGTGTGCCGATTGCTTAGTGTTGTGTCCGAAGACGGTCGATACGTCTATATGGCTCGTTGACATGCTTCAATAAGGTGACCATACCATTACTCATGGACGAGATTACTCAAATTAGGAATTGATGGATGAAATGAAAATGAATTTCTTTCGTTCTGTTCTCCTCAAATAAACGATCGTGAAGAAACAATGACAAAGGCCAAATAAGCGACTAGAAATTCTCCAATCGATAAACCTCATATCCCGGCTCTTCATAGGGATGGGCTCTGCCGAACACGTCAGTATATCCCAAAGAACAATATCATGAGCTAGGGACATTGTTTACTTCTTCAATGCCGCAACGGCATTCTTTGCAACGTCCTCGCCAACGCACAGCGTCTCAACGCGAACTTCAGGGACCTTTTCGATCTCGCCCACCTTGCCGATATGGGGATTGGCCGAGTCTCCAGGGCGGAACTGGCCGACACCGTCGGTCTGCCATGCGCAATGGGTATATGCTCCTGGGCCCGGATAGCGGCCAGCGCCGGCTGCGAAGATGGCCGCCTTGACAGCCTCGACGTTCTCCTTGGGAACGAAGAAGACGAGCTTGAATTTGCTAGCCATTGTCGCGGCGCAGCAGGACTACTAGAGGCAACTTATTATATTTCAATCAAGGGGATTTGTTGAAAAAGACAGGTACTCGCCGTCGAGCTGGATTTAGGCTGGAGGTTTAGGTTTGGGAAGAGGGGATTTTGCAGGTAGTATTACTGATTCTTCGCTTATTAATACTGGATATAGCTTCATTTTTTTTCTGATTAAATTATTCTCATGAATTTAATTTTAAAAATGCATATCTAAATATAATAAATAATAAAGAGCTATACATTTATATAATAGTAAATTAAAAGAATTTATTTGAATATTTAGAGAAAGCAAGTTTTCGATGCATCATGACCTCACCCCGCCGATTGCTGACATGATGTGACTGAGCGAACCATTTGACGAGCTCATCTGCCTTACCCCTCCTTATGCCTAGGCATATATGTACATGCTTTGATCCTGTCCCTTCTTATAAATATTCGAGACATGGGCATTCTTCTTCTGCCTTCAATAGGACTTTTGGCACCTCCACATTATAACCATCGTGCATTTCACAAGCAGTGTTTCATCACCTAATGTCTTATAATTACTTCACTGCCTTCTCTTGATCCGTCTACGTAGCATCAGCGACAGTATTGCGAAGTCCACAAGCAATTGTGAGAAAAAGGCAGAACGAATTCCAGCTTACATAGTTGTAGAGGTACAACGCCTCACTCCAGCCAGTTCCTTGTTCACACCACCGACTATATTTACAACGCCTTGGGGCTGAAAAGCGTCCAGCGACCATTAATATGGCATCATACGAAGCAGAAAATAACATGAACCTCATGCCATGGGGGCCCAGCTATGTAGATCAAGCGCAGGCAGTTCATAATCGCCAGGCTCATCGACCAATCCCAAAGGGTGGTGAAGAGCTGCCCAACGTCGACATTACACAAAACAAGGAAAGAGGTTTCCTTCACCCAACCATTGATTCCCGCAGACAAATCCGAGTCTTAAAGATTCTCTCCGAAACTACGACAAAGGATTTGGTCTGTGAATATGACATTGTCGACTTCGATGGCGCGTCCACCAACAGCTACTTCGCCCTGTCATATACATGGGGGAGCGCAACAGGGGCTGATGACGTTCATGACATACTCATCCTCGAAGGTTCAAAGCAAAAAGTGCCATTTTGCGTCCGACGAAATGTTTGGGAGTTCTTGACCAGTGATGTTGTTCAAAAGAAACTCAGCGGCCGTCCCATCTACATCGATGCTCTATGCATTAACCAGATGGACAATGATGAAAAAGGGCACCAGATCCAGCTGATGCAGTCCGTTTACTCTCAGGCACTTGAGGTCATCATCTGGCTGGGATCATCTATAGTTAACGATAAAGACGATTTGAACCTGCAGAGTTTGCAGGAACATGGTGACTGGGTCTGGACAAAAAAACGGGCCATGGGGGCAGGAGCAGGAATAGGAGGCAATGCCTATAGCCCTGCTGACAAGCAGAAGTTCGCGGTCGAGTTCATCAGCTCGCAACCATACTGGAGTCGGACTTGGATTATCCAGGAGATTATGCTTGCCTCAGATATCAGCATAATCGTGGGCAACTATATATTTCCATGGTCACGGGTCGCCAAGTTAGGGCCGCAATCGATTCAGTCGTCGTTGTGGCACAAGGACTCTCACGGGCTTCCCTTGATGAACATGACGTTCGTCGAGGGCCAGATGCGCTTTGGCCAAAGATCTGCAATGTTCGGCTTACTTGAACGCAAAATCAAATGGGACTCTGAACTCGCATTGGATACAGACGAAGGGAAAAGCAAAACTTATTTCTTGCCCTGCTACGTTGCCTTCGGCACATTTGCCGAGCATGCTTGTTCCGATCCACGAGATAAGTTCTACGCCATGCTCGGCCTTGTGGAGGAAGACATCCGCAAAGATATAGTTCCGGACTATCATCTTGGGGTCCATGAGGTTTACACAGTTGCTCTTACCGCTGGCTTCCGCTCCATCAAGGCACATTTGCAGGATTCGTTGAAGATGCGGCTAGAAGCCTTCGGCATCCTAGCGGCACACTTACACGAAGCGTTCGGTCTTCAAGAAGTGGACATCTGTGATTCCAGAGCTGCCGTTCTGGCAGAACCTTCCATTTATGTTGATATCCAATCTGATCTCGCGGAAGCCCGCCTCCTTGAGGATGATACCGGACTCAGATACAGGCACGCTCAAGCCTGTCGTTCCAACCATGCACCTAATAGCTGCCAACCTCATTGTCTCTTGACCGGGCTGGTACAAGCTTCGGACAATTCATCTTCACCTGTGTTGACGGATAAAGAGTCTGGTAAACAACCAGATCCTGTTTCAAACCTCTCTTTGGCCATCCACATTCGAGGTACAGCCTCAGGCGGCGGACCGTTGGATTACCAAGGCTTTGAATACGGCCAATGGAGCGGTCGAAGCTCACTTCGCAGCATCCAGAATCTTGGTATGCGACCAGAAGTACCCACAGGGACGAGCGACGCAACGAAGTATAGGCAATGCCTGTTCTACACGGACAAGGAGAGGGCGGACGGCGACATGTACTGGATGGTTGATAGTCCGCACGGGAGCTACACGGCCCCGATACACATACGCCGAAGGACAGACAGCAGCGACGGCTGGACAGTCTCTTACGAAGACGCCATTCCCAAACCTCACCACACAACCTGCGATCGTTGCGAAAAGCCGATCGTAGCCATGAGATACCACTGCCTCCAGTGCCTGGACTTTGACTTATGCTCACCGTGCATGAAAGAAGCCGGCCAATCCAAAGACGAGCACGTTGACCAGCACCACTTCGAGATAATCTACCATCCTGCCTCCAGCATGAGCCACACCACAAATCCGCTGAGATACCTCGCGCTCAACTTCCGGAGGGTGCCCTATCGGATGCATCCCGGCGTCTTCGACTCGTACCTGCACGACCCGGACCCGGGCGCGGCGGTGAAAAACTGCCTTGCGTGTGGTATAATGTTCCCGTGGAGTCCCCGCGAGGGCGTATGGCCGCCCTATTGGGTTGCCAACTTGAACATCATGACGTGGACTCCAGCCGGCGAGGGCGTGCCGCATATTCGTTGCATGGGCCTGCGTCTGCGCGATTCCGACCCGACCGATCGTCCTCCTACTCCCATGCCGGGAGGATACAGGTTCTTCGGGCAGATACAGCTATGCGCCATTCGCCAGCAGCTCGCAGAATGGGCATCTTCCTTCTCGCCACCCGTCGAACTCAGTCCCGACGTGAATCTAGTTGAGCTCGTAGACAGGCGGCGCAAAGAACGAGAGGCCAGGGACGGCGAGAGTGTGGGTGGAGGAGGAGAGATTGTCCTTTTGCTTGCCTTCCCACCGCTGCCTCAGACTGATGGAGTGGAAAGTGACGACATCATCGAGGAGGATGGATTCTGGGCCCTTGGGCTGCCACGAAGCTGTCGTCCCGGCGAGGACCAGAACGACGTTCCCACCACTCCGGTGATGCACTTCTGGAGCGTGGACGCTATTGGCAAGGCCAATGTAGCGAAAATGAAAGCAGATGCCGGTCGGCAACTGAAACTACTTCCCACTAAAGCCGATGCACCTATGGCGGAACGGCAATGGGTGACGTTTCGTTGGTAAACTATCGGCTCGGGGTAACATTTAAGGTAGCACGACGTTAATAAATTGCACTTGGAAGAGGGCTCCTGCAGAAGCCGGTCTGTCAGAACTGGCTTGACTAGGTTGGTCTTGATAGTGTGAGGACTTGATATCAGCGTCCAGTGGAGTTGGGACTAATGTGAAACTCTCGGAGCAATAAAGACACGGTCTATCAGAGCTCCTGAGTAGTCAGACCCCCTGAATTTACCCAGAAACGAGATTAATAATATACAGTAAACGGGCTTACTTTCTTTTGTCATGAGTATCACAGATACGTCAACGAGGTGTTTAGATAAAATCCAAAATAATAGATGCAACCCAAATCCTTAGGCTATCTTCGAAGCTAGTCCTAGGTTCCGTCAATTACTCTTCAAGTGGACTTCAAGGGAGTTGTTAACATCCCTGTTCTAAGACATCTCTTGACCCTCACTAGCCATACCCATCTGTGTAATACCCTGGCAAGTAGTATGACAGCTGGGTCAACTACATGAGATAGCACCAATCTACTATTTCCCAAGAGGATGATTGCTATCAGATTAGTCTATATATTCACACCAGTTTCTTTGAACTTATTAGACAACTCTCAATGTACTATTTCTTATAGAGCATTCTAGTTCTATGGTTCGGGTATCTAGAGATTCTATGAAACCACCAGCTAACCATGCCCTACACAACCCCAAGCGACAAAGACTAAAAAAAGAATCCTTCTCGACTTTGGAAAACCCCTCTACAATTAGTTGGAGTCGGAGGTGTTTCCGGCCTTCTCGATGATAGGGGGAGGCTTGGGGATGTTCTTGCGGAAGATGTGGCGCTTAACAAAGTATGGGAGCCACACCTTGGTCTCGTAGGCGATGAACTCCTTGGTTGGGACGGAGAAGACCTCTATTTTGGTTATTAGTCTAAGAAGACCTTATACAAAGTGGTGTGTGGATGGGGCTACTTACGGTCCAACTCTTCCAGAGTCAGCTGCTTTGTCTCACGAACGAAGCAAAAGATCATGAACCAGGCTATCAGGTTCAATCCGGCGTAGAATCCGACTGCAATGTTGTCAGCGGGTTGTCTCATTTGATGAGAAGATTTGTAACTTACAAGCTCCAGTAGGTGTCATGGCCTTTCGCATAGTGGGGAAGGTAAGACTGAGGATACCAGCTGGGAACAACGTTAGCATGATAGTCAACAATGGCTCACTAGAAAACCTAGTTCGTAGAGTTCCCTGTGAAAGGCAAGTTGCCTCTCGTCAGAAAGGGGGTGAAGTATCTTGTCTTACCGAAAGTGTTGTCTATTCAAGGTTAGTACAGAGTCATCGAATCGGGGAAATGGAAACAACTCACTGATGCACACGGCCCAGGCCATGCCCTGTTCACGCTGAATGGTTGGGAACACCTCCGCAGAGTACTGGAAAGCAACGGGTCCTTCACCGAGGGAGTAGCAGATGGTGAAGAGGTAAATGAACCTAGCGGATGCCAGTTAGCACTCTGTTTGGATCATGGAGTCATGTGAAGTAAGCTTACAAGACAACGGGTGCGAGCTGCTCAGCACGGGAACCGTCAGTCTTCAACAGAGAAAGACCAGCAGCAAGCAGGAAGATACACATTCCAGGGAAGGTCTATAGGCCGATATATTAGCAACCTCATTTCTATATTGGGGCGAGACTGGGAAAACTTACAGCCAGAGTCAGTGTTCGTCGACCCTTGGTATCAATCAGGAACAGAGTGGGGATGGTCGACACGACCTGGATAGCACCGTAACCCAGAGAGGCATACAGAGCTTCGGTGGGCAGGTAACCAGCTTCCTCAAAGATAGTTGAGCTGTAGAAGGAGATGACTACCAAGTGCGTTAGTACTGAGTCTTCCAAGCCATCGGGAATACCAATTCGTATAGGGGAGACATACTGTTGATTCCGCACATCTGCTGGGCAAGCATGACAGTGGAAGCACCGTAGTTTGCGCGCCTGATTCGGGGAACGCGGAAGCAGTCCCACATGCGGGAGAAGTAGCCAGCACCGGCGGCCTCCTTGAGCTCCTCCTCGTAGATGACGTGAGAGTAGTAGTAGTCGCGGGCGGCGATGATGGGGTGGGCACGGAGGCGGTTCATGGACTCGAAGCCCTGGGCGATCTTTCCGTGCTTCATGAGCCAACGGGGCGACTCGGGGCAGAAGAAGATACCGGCGCCGAGGATGAAGGAGGGGATGAAGGCGGATCCCAGCTGGAGACGCCACGCGATGGCGCCGGTGTCCTTGACAATGACGTTGGCGCAGAAACCAAGGAAGATACCTGCAAGAACACACTCGTTAGAATGAAGCCGGTTATAATATTGCTGAAGGGTATCATGACGTACCAGCAACGACCCAGAGCTGCCAGAACATGACCAGAGCACCACGGATACGGGCAGGGGCCATTTCAGCACTGTAGATGGGGACAGTGGCGTTCTTTGCGCCGATACCGATGCCCATGACGAATCGGGCGGCGAAGAGCTCCTGCCATGACCTTGCGAAACCAGAGCCAATGGGGGTGGCAGTGAGGCAGAGAGCAGTGACGAAGATTTCACCGCGTCGGCCGAGGTAGTGGTTGAGAGGATCGACAATGAAGGCACCGCTGCATGTCTGAGTCAGTCGCCAGCGCAGATTGATTGGGGAGGAGGTTCTGTCAGCTTACATGAGACCAGCAGTCAGGAAAATAATGGCATTGACGAGACCGACAATCCACGTATCGTGCTGGGAATCGCTGGCGATGCCGAACTCCTGGGGGAAGGACAGGTTGGCACCGTTGGATCCGGTCTGGTCCCATCCCTGGGTGGCAGCACCGACGGCACAGAGGCCAATTGAGTACCACAGCATGACGGGGCCATGCCACTTGTGGTCCTTTTCATACTGGAGGGCAGTTCGCTCCTCCTCGTTGAGTTCAGCGACGGTGTTGAAGGCGTCCAGGTCGCGAGCTACGAGAGCAGCTTTGCCAAAGAGCTCGGCCCTTTCGGGCATTCCGTGCAGCTCGGCGAATGTCTTTGCATCGAGAATATTCTGCTCCTTGGAGACACGCTGTGGGCGGCAAGAGAGTGGTTAGTACTGATGGAAGACGCGTCGCAGAGCACCCAATGGCACAGTAGACAAAAGATATTGAGGCATTGGACGATGTGAAATGGGAATTGGGGCCATTGGGCTATTCGAAGCTCACCTTGAGGGGGTTCTCGACCAGGTTGACGGCAGCAGACTGGCGGCGATGGGCAGGCTCAGCCGTGTCGAGCACCTCCTTGTCGACGACGTGCTTCTCCTCATGGGAGACCTCTTGGGCAACGCCCTCCTTGGTCTCGTCCTTGGACATTGTGATTGAAAAGAGAATTCAGACTCAGAAGGAGCTTGGGGGAGAATCTGTGTGCGACGAGGCTGGAGAGACAGAGCAGAGCAACCGAGCACGACCGACTTACACCGGGGGAGCTTATATACTACGCTTCGTCCCCAGAAGGAGAAACCCAATCCCCACCGCCAATCCCCCGGTATCCCCAAGGCTGGCCTGAGCCCACCGTTCTGGGGTAAGTATTTTTTTCTTACTAGGCCCTCAATCGTCTCGTGGTGTGATGATCGAGGGTGGTGGGGAGGGATTTGTTCGTTTGCTTGCTCTCTTACACATCCTGGTCGCGTGCGGCATCATCCAACCCACTCTCTTGCCTCTGGATCCTTCCGACATTTTGGGCCAGGAAAAGAAGCGACAAAGGTCGGCTCCTAGCGCTTCCTGGAAGCCCAGCTAGCCCACAAGGGTAAAGAGAGTCGAGCATGCTTTCTGTCTGGGACGGGGCGGGCGGTACGCACATGCAGTGTGACAAGATGTAAAACACTGCCAATTTTGCCGGCTGGGTCAGCCGCAAGCCAGATCTACGCAGTAAGAAAACACTAATTAGGCCGTCCAGACAGACGAGAAAAAGAAATACATTATACGCTGTACATTATACATCCATGGCGCTGATTCATCGATGCAGCCCGTGGCAGACACACACCCCACGGGCAACAGGATGATGATGGGTACATGCACACACGAAGGCCCGTTTTCTCGGCCAGGCCGTTTCGATTTCCGCAACGGCGTCCCCATCATGGCCTCTCGCGAAAGCTGACGAGTGAATTAATGCAAATGGAGATTTCAAATCAAACCAAGCGTTTGGAGAAGCCATCAAAGGCCGGCCAGCCAGCCATGCTGCGATTAATTTGGCTGCCTAAAAGAAGTGCCATCGACGGTGGAGCCCGAGTGTATTTGCTGTGCCGACTTTTCCGAGTTGAAGTAGCATGATCTTCATCGAGAGCCAAACCCAAAAGCCTGTATGGCCAGGCTCGATGACTAACGGCAGCTGGCCCCTGTCCCTGTCTCTTGTCCGTCCCCGTCCGTCTCCAACATCTGGCTGATGGATGGTGGAGTCCCCACGTCTCGGAAGCTTGGCCAGCAGGGTCGAGATACCTACACCTACAGTACCTGCTCAAGACTGCTGTACAATATGCGTAATGCGAATTGGCCGTCTGATCCAGATGAGCAGACACAGAGCCCAGAAAGAAAGGGAAAACTCAGCTGTGGCATGCTGGCAGCTGTCATAAGCCGAGGGTGGCCCCCCCCTCCTCCTCCCGTGCATAAAGTGCCGAAGGCGCCCAATTCGCCGTCCACACCCAAATGTTTAATTCCCACTCTATCTGCTCACCGGCGCCGATGATTGGCGAAGGATTGTGCCCCGTACGTCACACTTGGAGTAACCCGACATGGGGTCCAACTTCTGAGGGGGAACCGGGGGGTAGACTGACAGCCAGCAAGCAAGCAAGCAAGCAGTCGGAGGTGTCCAACAATTGACATTCCCGTTCCATGTATCCTACCTTACTAACTGGCAGCTTCACACCCTTCCGGCGCGGAACTGGAGAGATTTACAGTGGTAGATGACACCGGCCGTGGCTTGACTGCGGTGGAGAGGAGCACATGCAAGAGGACGTAGCCGCATGCCAACCGTTGTATCTGGGTTTATCTTTCTCCCTGAAACTTGGAAGGATGGGTGCCCTCAGGCTCATGCAGCCATTCCATGGTCCATGACCTGCATGGCATGGTTCCAAAAGGTCAGGACGTGATGAACACCCAGCCAACCCCCCGGTCCATCGCCACCCTCCCGGCCCATAAATACATTAATTTACATAATAAGCATCCTCGTGGTGAAATTAAATCTGATGGGAATTTAAAAGAAAAAATGGAAAAGGAAAAAAAATAAACAGGAAAGGATGCAAGCATGGAAGGGAGAGAAGGGTCAGGGAACACGGCCGGGGGGATGCGAGCAACAAGGGTCGTGGCATCCAACCAACTCTGCTTGTCATGGGGGCCAGCAACCGCCAGAGAATAGGATCATAATGACAAAGTACCTACTCCAGGTTGCGGGGAAACAAACATTGAGGAGCCCCAGGAAAAAGAATTTTTCTTGTCGGGGTGATTGGCATTCCCGGTTTCCCATCCCTCTCTACCTCGAGAAAGCAGCATGTAATTCTCCCATCGCCATGTCCCATCAATCTGGTGTCAGGCCCGTATCAGAGACATACATACATACACATCTATAAATATGTACGATGGATGATCAATTCATTCTATCCTCCGCCCAGCCATGTATCCATTACGTTATAAACTTGTACTTTTCTCGTGGCAAACCCCTGCTCATTCCAGCCGGCCCCGAGCGCGCGCTGCTTCAATGTGCAGCTCCATCCACCATCTCGGCCCGGGTCTGGGAACCCCCCCAGCAAAACAGCAAACTCGACAAGAGGAAACAGCGGGAATTCTCATCAAAGGCTCTTCTTCTGTGGCCCCGGACCCTGCCCGCTTGGCAAACACGCGATGCGCGAGTCATCTGGCCCGACGCTGACAGGGGCCGAAGCCGAACGAACTGGAGCCCTCCTCCAGGCAGACGAATAAACCACATCGCCGTTGGCTGCGATGTCGCTCAGTAGTGAGCTGAAGATGGTCACATGTCTGACTAGACGATACGCACTAACTCTCTCCAATTTTTGTCTCAAAATCTCCAAGCGTCATGGGCCACCAGTCCATCTGTTGAGTTCACTGATATTCTGCCCAGCCTCGAGATGAATCACTAAGACATCTGCCAAGTGCCAAGCTGTGGAGAATACTAAGAGGCACAGAGCCTCACCAACGACAATTCTCAAGATAGGTGCAATCAGGTCAGATCATCATCGTAGACCTCAACGTCTTGGGGCGAGGAGGCGTAAGAGAATAAGCTCCACGATACCAGGCTCCCCAAGCATGGAGTGTGAAGCATGCACTAAGAAGCCGAGTTCCTTTTTTTCTCGGCCTCGCCACACGCTCAAGCCTCCTCATTTCCGCTGTTCTCGAGAAAGTCTATTAATACTAGCAACTGATAGATCACTAACTAGTGGCCAAAAGAAAAAAAAAAGCCAAAGCTGTGCGTTTGGTAATTGCATGTCTCAATCATGGCCATGGCGCATGCATCGTAAAACATTTTCCATCTATAAACAACAAGCCAATCCCAAATGTGCGTTGAACTTTAAATGCGAGACAAGTATTCACTCCTAGTGGCTTCGTCCTCTATTTACCTTGATTCTTCCCCTGATCCAGCTCTTAGACAGACATTTTCATCTGAATTGACTTGTGCGGCTCGTATCCTTTAATCTCGAAATCTTCCAATTTCCACCCGTCAATCTCGCCTCCTTTCTCGCGCCTGATGTCCAGCTCGGGGAAGGGTCGGGGTTCCCGCTCCAGCTGCTCCCTGAGCGCGTCGACGTGGTCCAGGTAGACGTGCGCGTCGCCCATGACGTGGGTGAGACTGCCCGGCACCATGTCGCAGACGTGGGCGAGCATGTGCGTCAGCAGCGCGTAGCTGGCGATGTTGAACGGGACGCCCAGGCCCATATCGCAGGACCGCTGGTACAGCTGGCAGTGCAGGTGGCCCTTGGGCTTGGCCTCCGCGCCGTCGCCTCCATTCGCGGCGGCCCCGTTTGTCGATGCTGCTGAGGGGTACGAGACGTAGAACTGGGCAAACATGTGGCAGGGGGGCAGCACCATATTGGGCATGTCCTTGGGGTTCCACGCCGACAGGATCATCCGACGGTCGTAAGGGTTCGTGCGGAGTTTGTGGATGAGCTCGGCCAGTTGGTCGACGCCCTGGCCGGTGTAGTCGGTCTTGGAGTCGACGTACTCGGCCCCAAAGTGCCGCCACTGGAACCCGTAGACGGGGCCCAGGTCGCCCACCTCGCGATGGGTCAGGCCGAGCTTGTCGAGGAACTCGCGCGATCCGTTCCCGTCCCAGATCTTGACGCCCTGCTCGCTGAGCGCGAGCGACGATGTGTTGCCCTGGATGAACCAGAGGAGCTCGAGGATGATGGCGCGGTGGAAGACTCGTTTCGTGGTGAGGAGGGGCAGGACGGGACGGCCGTTGTCGTTGAGTTTGAACTTAAGGCGGGCTCCGAAAATAGATATCGTGCCGGTGCCTGTACTGTTGATTGATATTAGCCGTGATATTAGCCGTGATGTAGTGCTTCTGTCCTACTGCATGCATGCATGCAGGGTGGGATGAATGCCATCCACGTACCGATCTGGCCGTCGCTCGCCCTCTTCCAAGATCTCGCGAATGAGATCGAGGTACTGCTTCTCCTCGTGGGTTGCTGTGGGCGCCATAGCTGCGATGTTCTATATCAAGCAGGAAAGAAATCTGCCGCTTATGGAGAGATTACAGCACGATTGTCCGTTCAATCGGTGGAGGGTACCAGAAGGAGATGCAGATTCGACCGAGGCCATTTGCTAGTGGGACGCGTAAAGTAACGAGGGGCAGTCGCTGACACGCGACGCGACAAGGCTCAAGCGCGGGGCTACTCACTTCCCAGATTCTAACTACCCTATAGCTAGATCCAAGACTCACAATCATTAGAACCATGTTGCTTTCTCCATTTCATAAAGCGGTTCAAAATCTCGGGCTATGTCAAAATATCCATTCCAAGTCTGAGTATTCAACTGGGAGTTTATTTTCCTCCTTCTCCCTTTTTGGCCAATCTCCCCTCTGCAACTGACACTCTCCGCTGGAATCATCTTGAACCCCCACTAAACCTTCTTACTCCGCGTCGTGAAAGCACATGGCCGACGGAGCATTCCCATGACATCAACTTGCTTGATAACGCGATGCAACGAACGTTAATTCGTAACCTTGTCATTCTAGGCCCAACGTGGGACCGTTACCTCTTCCCCCAACCCCCACTCTTCGATAAACCATCTGGGCCGCAACGGGGGCGTGAACATTCCAGTTGGGCAACCCTGATAAGATGTACTGCGCAATAGTGTGGTGGCCA